TGTTTGACGAATATTAAACAACGTTCTCATAATTTTGAGAAAATAATTATAATATAATAAAAAAAAACTTATAAAATACAAAATATGAATATGTAGAATTTTATACGGTTATGAAAAATCAGATTAAGAAAAAGCTGAGAGGATTCCAATGTGTTAAAAACATATTTTGTGTAAACCATGTATTTTCAATTTGATAAAGCACAAAATTTTATGATTTGGTTTTGAGAAATTTAATTTCTAGTTGTAGAAATTTACATAGGTTTTTGTAGGTAACAGTAGTGAACGTTTTCTAAATATTTTTAATCATTTATAACTATTTTAATTTCAATAAGTTAAATGTAAAATAAATAAATAAAATATAGTCAAAAGTAGGTATCTAAGAATTTGTATATTTCCGCAACCTACCTAGGTCAGACTATGTCAAAGAAAATGTACCTAACATGAAAAATTTGTTTTTGTCTAATTTAAAGTTTTTTCTGTAATTGATTATTAAAGACGTTTTTTATTCACTAACAAAATATTTTATACAAGAGGATCGAGTGTTTCATTTAAAGAAACACAAGTTTGTATTGTGACTTACTTTTGTGGCTTGCTGTATAGTTGAAAATAATTTCTGGCGATGCATTGGTTATTTAGTAGGTATTTATCAATTTCTTATATAATTTTTTATAAAATTTTAACATTCGAAGATCAATATTGGACTTTACCAACTCGTTGAAACACCCTGTGCACTTATAAAAAATTGTTATTTACGGCTATAAAAAACAGTACCGACGTAATAATAATTGCATGAAAGGATAATTATTTTTAAAATAATAACGAATGGCATATAGGTATGTGCTTAATTACTTACCTTTTTTATTGTTAATACCTACTAATTGCTTGTTTCTTATATTGCAAGTACTCACAGTTTCCTACATTTGTTCTTATATTAAACGTTATAATCTAAAAGAATATATTTTATGATTGTGATTAAATATTTTGGATGTCGAAACATAAACACTTCATTTATTTTACATTAAGCTTAACAACTCATTAGAGTTTTAGCATTATATGATAATACAGTAATGCCTATGCCTCAAATATTAATTTTTATCTATTCATTTAACTGGTGTTAGTTGTATTGTTCGTTTTGTCATTTTGTCATTTTACTTACAACAGTAAAGTTACAATGATGGTTCATCTATCAGTGAATAAAATAATAAAGTGTTTAAAAATTTTAAAAAGAACTTATTCATCTTCTATGCCAAAATGTGATTTTGTACCTGAGAAATATACGGTAAGTGAACTTTGAAATAATTTTTTTTTGAATAAATTACATAATTTTTTAACATTTTCTAGGGCCCATCGTTAGAAAAAATGACACAAATAAGGAAAACAAGGTTGAACCCAGCATTGACTACTTATTACGAAAACCCTTTAGCCTTCCACCAAGGGCATATGCAGTGGTTATTTGATTTAAACGGAAAAAGATATCTTGATATGTTTGGAGGAATTTGCACAGTTTCTGTAGGCCATAGTCATCCGTGAGTTGTTACAATAATTTAAAATGTAGATTATGTATGACATGGAAATGTTTGTTATACTAACTTGACCTTTTCGAACGAAAACATAAATGATCAATGTCACTATCACGATATCAAAAAAAAATATTAAGTAAGGTTTTATTACTTTTATGTTTCAGAAAAATAACCGAAGTTCTACATAAACAAATACAGAAATTAACGCATGTGTCAAACGTTTATTATCATCCAAAAATCCACGAATACGCTATGCGTTTAACTAATAAATTTCCAGGGGATTTAAAGGTTTATTTCTGCCTTCTAGCTTAAAAATTAAGTAAATCAATTAAATCGCAGGTGGTTTATTTTGTCAACAGTGGTTCCGAAGCAAATGATTTGGCTGTTCTCATGGCTCGAAGTTATACAAAAAATTTTGATATTGTAACTCTCAAAAATGCTTACCATGGAATGACTTATCAAACAATGGGACTAACTTCCAATACTGGGTACAAGTACAAAGTGCCCCAAGCACCAGGAATTCACACTGTAATTCTTATTTTTGTTTAGATGAATTTTTAAATAAACTTTAATTTCAGATCATGAATCCAGATGTTTATAGGGGCATTTGGGGCGGCACCCACTGTCGTGATAGCCCCATCCAGACTTCAAGATCTTGTTCCTGTTCGATAGATGATTGTGATGCAAAGGATAAATATCTTGACCAACTTCGAGACGTGTTCAAGTACAATATTAAACCAGGGGCTTTAGCGGCTTTTTTTGCCGAGTCAATCCAAGGGGTTGGAGGGACGGTTCAGTTTCCTAAAGGATATATTAAAGGAGCTTATGATATAGTCAAAGAACACGGAGGGCTCTTTATCTCAGATGAGGTATTTCAATAGAAGGTTTTTATGGTCTGGAGTACGTTTTCTTAAACTTCTGATCCTCTAGATTAATACGAAAAATAAAAATATAACCGTGTCTTAAAAAACAACTTTTAAATTTTGTTTTGTTTTTATGACTTTATATTTTTTTAGAAAAAGCAACATGCCTTAAGAGTTTTGTTTCACAACTACAATTTTCGAAACAGAGTTGTTCCAAATTAAATTGCTTTAAAACCATTTTTGTTTTCCAAAGAAATTTTAGATTTATCTCAACTTTTCGTAGGTACAAACTGGATTTGGTCGTACAGGGGACCATTTCTGGGGCTTCGAAATGCACGGAATTGAACCCGACATTGTAACAATGGCCAAAAGTATCGGAAATGGTTTTCCCCTAGCTGCAGTAGTGACACGACCTGAAATAGCACAAGCCCTTGCCAGTTCTATGCATTTTAACACTTTTGGGGGGAATCCCTTGGCGTGTACAGTTGGCATTACGGTTCTGGATGTATGAAAATTTAACATTCTTTACATTGGTGATATATTCGTATAATTGCGCTTTCAGATAATTGAGGAAGAAAAATTGCAAAAAAATTGTCTTGAGATTGGAACTTACCTTCTCAAAGAATTGGAGAAATTAAAAGCGAAACATTCTGTAATTGGAGATGTTCGGGGAAAGGGTTTAATGTTGGGGGTTGAACTTGTGGAAAATGATAAAAATGCCACTCCTTTAGCGAGTAAGAGATTTATGAAAATGTGGGAAAAAACACGTGATTTGGGTTTAATTATCGGAAAAGGTGGACTTTTTGGAAATGTAACTAAAAATTTTGCACAAGCCCATTGTTAATTGTTAAAATTTAAAATATTTACTTTTAGGTGATAAGAATTAAGCCACCAATGTGCATTACTAAGGAGGACGCCGATTTTACTGTGCAAGTTTTGGACAAAGCGTTTGAAGAATTGAAATAACTCGCAAATAAATCACAAGTAAATTGTATTTTGTCTGAAAGTAGTTTATTTTATTTTGAAATAACTTCCATTACAAACATTCTCCTTCATTTTGATAACACCATTTTGGAACAAGAGCTTCGGCATTAACACCTCTTGAGACTAGGCGCTCTCTGTGTCTGTAAAACCTTTTTTCAATCTCTTTCACATTGTAATCAAGAGGATTTGTCCAAAGTCTTTCAGCTGCAGCTGCAGCTCTTGGCCATACTCTTGATTCCACTGAACTGTCATCGACATATTCCCCCCACATACACACCTAGAGCAATGACCAAAATGTTATATTTTTAACAATACGCCGAAACCACAAAATACCTCTCCTCCAAGAGTTCCACTTCCAAGTGTAATTCTATTATTATAAACGGTCCTCCAATTGTGATAAACAGTAGAACCCCAAAACCCATGGTCCAAATACCAAGCATCTTTAGTGGACACAATTACGCGATATCCTAATAGTAGAAGGTTTTTTGGTAATTCATCATCTGCCGGAACCCAGGTTTGTATAACATACCTGCCAAAACAAAGAAATAAAATAACCACAAATTTTGGTGTTTTGGTACCTCGATTTTGAAAGATATTTCTCTATGATATCAACTTGAGTCAAATGACTCGACCATAGGATTATAGGTGTGTCACTATTTCGTACTACAAAGTCAAATGCGGCAAGAGATTTTTCTTGGTAATCTGACCACAAATCCAAAAATGTTTCAGTAGTCCTAGGTTTACCATTTTTGTCGAGATAAGTGATAATTTCAGGCGTTGAGTTCCAGCAAGGAATATAAACTTCGTCTCCACCCATGTGGAAGACTTCACCCTTTGGAAGCATATTAACAATATCGTTGTACAAAAGCTTCAAAACGTCAAAAAGGTTGGAATTGATTGGATTAAGTTGACCACAAGGAGGTTGGATACAGTACGACCTCCAGGGTTGTTGGTCGATACAAACGGCAAGGTTTCCAAGACCAGCGTCTGGGCCCCATTGCCAACCATTACCAGCATGAGAAGGAGCGTCAATCTCGATGATGATTCTAACTCCTCTCAATTTTGCATATGCAAGGAGATTTTCAATGTCTTCAGGATGGTAAATTTTGTCACTCGAGTAAGCCCCGAATCTAAAAAATGTGTAAAATGAAATAAATAAACAAACCCAAAACTGACTTTGTCATATTTGGAAGCTGAGGCAACTCCAAAGGAAAACTCTGCGAATCAGTTATGTGCCAGTGGAAAACATTCATTTTCGAAGCAGCCATTGCATCTATATGTTTCTTTATTTTGGAAATCGATAAGAAATTCCTTGCAGTATCAAGCAACAAGCCTCTATGTGGAAAAAACGGGGCGTCGGAAATTGTTGCTTCTTCTGTTACCACCAAACATTTCGTACCATCACTATTTGGGTAAACATCTATTAGTTGCGATAATGTTTCTAACCCGTGTCTCGCTCCAAATATCGTTGCAGCGGATATTTGAACAATATTTTGATTTCCTGTTGAAGTTATTCCTATGTTGTAACTTTCGTTTGTGCCCCAGTTGAGAGTTGTATCGTCTGATTTTACTGTAAAAGTGACTGCTACTGTATTTTTCTGCTCAGGACAGTTTGTTGTATCTTCCGCTGTAACTGCTTTGAGGAAAATCGATGATATATCGCGAAGATAATTGTTAACGTCGTTTTCCTCATTTGGTATATTAAACTTTATAGAACTAAAAAATTATTTTTAGTTTCTACTCTTCCTAATATCAAAATTAAACAAATACCTTGAAGAAAACTTCAATAATTTACTACTTATTGTAGTATCACTTGTTGGCAGGGGCCAAAGTGCCCCATATTTGCCACAAACCAATCTACATGTTTCTAAAGTAGGATACACATTTGTGGTTTGATTCAAACTGTTTGAAATTCTTGAGCATGTGTCTTCAGATGTGTTACATTCCCAGTACCATCTACAAAATTATAAATTAATCAAAATTAATTATTATAATAGAAATTAACTTACATCCCGTAATCAGACTTTAGAGATGAGACATAAAGTACTGGATAGAGCAATATTCTGAAGAAGGAAAGGGAGCCTAAGATGAACAAAAGATATCTAACTTTTTTTATCATAAAACTCTAATATGTTTAGTTTTTTGAAATGTCACTTTTCCACCACCACCCCGATGAAATAAAAAAGTTGAAGCATTTTTTGTAAATGTTTTTGTATACAAGGTATTTCACATAATTTTACGAGGCCTGCGCCTGTAAGATGCAATTAATATATAATACATATTCCGATACGAACTCGATTACAATTTTGAAAAATCGGATGATCTTTTCTAGTTTGTTCACCCTTTCAAAAATTACAACGTTTTTAGTTAGTTAGTGATTAAGATAGATAAACTAGAATCATATTCATTTCGTCTTCTAATAGAACAAATGATAATTGTTTCTGAAAAGCTGCAGTTTATGGCTATTAATGAATGTTTATTTAATATTTATTTGTTTATTAATGTCATGTGTATTTTTTGTATCTAGTCTTTTGTGATTTTTGTATATTTGGTTGCGTACATTAGGCTCAAGCGTCGTAAAATTGTGTGAAACACCCTATATCTACGCGTTTCATAAAAATGAGTTAATCACGCCTTTTTAAGTCTATCTGTCTGTCACGACATGTGGCGGCGCATATAAAAGATCCAGTACAACATGACAATATCATAATATACTATTTTATAACTTTACGTTATCCTTAGATAATTTATTTTTTCATTTTATTTCATGTTTATTTTTATATTCTTTCAATTGCATTCTGTTTTTTATCATTCATTCATTCTTTTTCTCATTAATGTATTCGAAATGGAGACATATGCATTATTCATCAAAATAAAGTAAATTATAACTGCACATGAATTTGTTTTAAAATGTCACGTTTCGATTTTTTATTGATTGTTCTATTTGTTATTGTTATTTACATCAAAATCTGAAGTTTTCAAACTTTTGATAAATACGATTACCTAATACAAAATTCAATTTATTTAATCTTAGGAGTACAATATGTTATAAAATAAGTATTTTTTAAGCGGATTATTATTTTTATGCTAGATGTTAATGTTTTATTGTGCGTTCAAAAAACAATTTATTTAATGAGAGGTACAAGGTTTAAATAAATCTTCACTTTCGATTCGAATTAAAATAGGTACTATTTTACGACCAAGTTTTGTTTGTTAAATTAAAAAAAATAAGTTTACTCACCCTTCATGTTGATTGTTATGTCTGGGAATACCTGCTGTGAATAACACAATTCTCTAGTATTAAAAATGTGAGAAACATAATCAAAGTGGTATAATCTAAGTAACTGCGCACGCAGTTCATATCAAAAGAGGAAATTCAAGTGACGGTTAATTGTGTTCATTAGTATTCAAAAAACGCTCTTTATATAACATTATTTAAATACGGGATTATTTTATGAAATAAGTTATTTACATTGCGGGAATATTAAATACTATTCTCAAATACTTAATGTTATGTTTTGTTAAATTCGACTTTGGGAAGTCATTATCTGCCTACTTCAACACCTACGACAATGAGTTTTGCTTATAAACTTATAGATTAGATACTGCATGGTTTAGTGATAAAACACACTCACATTGTTATATACTAAAACAGAACCTATAAACCTATAACAAACTAAATTAAGAATCAACGAAGATGCGTTTATTTTAAAATGAACTATTTTTGGAATGCTGGTTTATCTGCCTCGTTTTTTGGCTTTGTTGTTGTTGTTTTATCGCTTTTATTGTTGCAGTTTTAAGCTGGAGTGGGGACTGATTAATAAAATACCCAACAGTTATTTTTATTAGTCATATTTTTTACAGAACAATCTACCTTAAAACCTCTACAACTGCACAAATAATAATAAAAGAAATAAAAAAAATTAACAAAATTGCCATCACTGCTGTAAAATGAATGAACTACATCGTAGATTTATAAAGAAGAAAGTATTCTCTTAATATTTGGTTTAGAAATATTGCCACACATTAAAGAATATTACAAGTTCTGTTTTTTTTTTAAACTAATTGTTTAATAACTGTCCAGTATTTGTGTCGGGATGTTCAATACGAGGTGGATTTTTGCACATAGAAAGGTCGTCGGGTCCTCCTGGTGACAGTGGACTAGGGCTTGAACTTCGTAGACTTGAAGGACTTGCACTTTCCGTTTCAGGAGAGCATGGACACGGGGGTGGTAAATTCGGAGCCATGATTGGATAACCGTCTGGCAGCTTGTCAGGTGGTTGATGCTCTCCTTGCAATGGTGGAGCGTTTGGTCGACCTAAAGATTGTTATGTCAATTGAGTATTATTTTGTAGGTACTTCATTCAAAAAAATGTTGCTGAATGTATTATTAATGAATAAATCTAATTCGAAGAATTAATTTGTTTATCTACAAACGGAATAGCAGGCAGAACAAGTTTTCACAATACGAGTCTGGTTTTTTGTACGTCGAATTAACAAATTTAAAATTCAACTTTTGTTCTCGATATTTGAGTTGAGTCATACCTGTAAGGAGTAAGGGAGAAGGAGTAATGCCAAGACATCGCATTCTCCAAGCGTCTTGAAGGAGTTGCAAGCGAGCTTGTTTTCTCCATTTTGCTCTCCTATTTTGAAACCAGACCTTAAATAAATAAATCTTAATGACAAAAGTGAAAAAGTTATTTTAAACATTAAGTTTTTTTTTTAAGAAAATTAATAAATAAAACAATAAATAAATCATTTTTATTAAATACAGGGCGATTCAGATAAGATAATGAGCCTGACGATCTGGAGATGCAACCCAAAAAACAAATTTCATTTACGCCTTTGATCCAATTTCAATTAGGATTTGCAAGTTGAATCCAAGTTATCATCTTATGTCACTTTGACATCAGTGCAGAAAACGATTATTAGTGCCATTCAGTTCTCGCGGAATGATAGATAAAAAAAATAAATAAATAAATTGCTTGTCAAAGCACTATCAGAGCAACATAAGATAACTTGGATTGCAAATGCAAATCGTAATTAAAATTAGATCAAAACGTAAATGAAATTTGTTTTTTGGGTTGCATCGCCAGATCGTCAGGCTCATTATCTTATCTGAATCGCCCTGTATAAAATTTTTATAAATTATGAGTATTAGCAATAAATTTTCAACTGTCTAACTGAAAAGTTTAGAAACTTTTAGATGAATCCATCATTTAAAAAATCGTCTATTATACATATACATTTATAAGTGATTTGTTTTGTACAAAAGACAAATTTAATTTAAAATCCAAATTTTTGTTAGCGTACATAACTTTTTTTATTCATAAACGTCACAAATAAAAGTTCTACTTTTCAGCCATAGAGTAAAAATTCTATGCAGGTAACTCACGCTTCACACAAAAAATTCAAGTAAGATAACAGGAACATGAAAAAAATGTTTAAAAAATTCTGTCAAAAAAAATTATGCCATTAATTTTTTGACATTTGACATTTTTTTATATCCATTTAATGATACTGATGATCTTGTATATGTTTTTTTTTATAATTATTTAGTAAAGGTACAAAAATAGTTATACTCGTAATTTAGCATACAGCTTCATTGTTTCTTCTTCTAATAGCCTGTGTAGAAAAAAACTTGGAAAATTATTTTTCCAACAGAAATACATAGTCAAAGTACAAAACTTAAACTCTCATAACTTCGAAATTTTTATAGATACAATTTTTTAAACATTTTTTCCATGTTCCTGGTATCTTACATGGTATTTTTGTCTAGGGAGTGAGTTTTGGCGCATCAGCCTGTATATGTTGCACCTAAGCGTTTTTACTTTTTACCATGACATTATTGACATTTACCAATGTTGTTTCTTTTTTGTCCCTATCGCTCAGCAGTTTCTGAAGAGAGACATTGTAGATCATCAGCCTTTACACTTTGCACTACCAACTGCACTAGTTAAATTATTAAACACTTTCGAAAATTTCAAACAAATTCCGATACTGACGTGTGATGTTGGCTTATAAGCGTTGTTATGATTTCATTAGTTGCAAAGCGTTCTTATTAAGTACTTTGTTCATTTACTTGCTAATTATAGTGTTATAGTGTTGCTTTTTACTCTCAATCTGAATACGTTTGAGGATAAAATAGTATATGTTATTTGGAGTAAAAGTGAGTTTATGTGGCTCAGCTGAATTATTATGAAATAAACGTTAAGCTTCATCACATAAACTATCACTTTTAGGTAATCTTGGTACCTACTATTAATGATGTTAAATATTTTTATTAATGTAAATTAAAAAAGTGCAGTTAAGAATATAATAAAATCTTCTATAGAAATTATTATATTTATTATTGACATTTGCTTCTGCCAACATCGGTTTTTAATTTCTAGGTTTGATTGGAAGACTTTTTAATCTCACTATGTATAGATATTACTAACTTTTTCTATTATTTTTTACCTTTAAATTGCTAAAGAAGAATTATTGAAAAAATTATTGAAAAAAAACTTATAGCTACCTACAGTGCTATACCAATAAGAACTTAAAATGTGTGATTTTTTTAAGAATATCTTGAAATTTCATTTAAAAATTGTTTCATTTCAGCCATTCAATCGTAAAAGTCAGTTGAACAGAATAATATGTAATTAGTATCATGTGTATAAGCAGGTAGTGGCTGTAGAAAAGTTGTGCTAAAGAAAATAGCAACAAAAGAGTTGCAAAAATAAAAACTTCATAATAAAAACAAGAAAAGACAGCTTGGAGAGTGCAAGAATATATTCTTGCGAGAAGCGGTCACTGGTATTTTATAAACAATTTCGTATTTTTAATTTCATTTATTTTTAAATCTTGAATTAAATGTGTTAGTTACGTATGTTTACTGATCAATTTTATGTTAATTATAATGACAAAAATTGCAAAATTTTAATCGATTTTTTATTAATAATTATAAGCAATAAAACCCAACCTTATACCTTTCAAATTGTTTATAATGAATCTTAATTTAAAAAAAAAATTAAATTAGAATTTTTGAATATACATACTTTTTTTAATCTTTGATATTAAATAAAAATTTGAAACGAGGAGGATAGAAACCAGATGCTCCTATCAGTTGAACAGGACAATAAGTAAATCTTTAGTATTTCAGCAAATTTTTCAGTTCAGTGTTAAATAAAAAAAATTAACAAAATATTAAAGGGCCGTGGCTTATTTTTTAGCTCCTTTTTGCCAATAAGATAATATGTGAACTTATTGTTGAAAAAATGAGAAAAAATGTAACATTTTTGATTTATTTTATTATCGCTAGTTTTTTATACTTTTATCAACCGATAAAAGCAAGAAGAAACGAGCAAAAAAATAAAGTTACACAAAAATACTAACTATTAATTTGCTTTATAATGAGATTTGAATCGATATTAAAACCAATCTGAAACTTACCTGAACACGTGCTTCCGACAAACTTATTCTTAGCGCGACTTCCTCCCTAAGGAAAACATCAGGATAGTGCGTCTTTTGAAAAAGTGCTTCGAGTTCTTGCAACTGTTGCGGACTAAACGTCGTGCGATTTCTTCTTTGTCGTCTTCGACCAAACATGTATTCAGTGAGCAAATCACCGGGCAAGGGTGATAAATATGGTCCAGCCATTTGATCTCTATTTTGATTATTTTATGAGTTTACTTTAACGCTGTTAAATTCATACTGTGAATCTGAATTGCATGTTGTTATAGAAATTAAATGACGCTCCACCCCGATTTATTTTCATTGGTCCTATAGGGACGCCTAAAAGGCGTTGAGACGCTCGCGCAGACGTATCTGCTTAATAAAATAATGCTTTTATTGGTTGTTTACCTGAAATGTTCATTTACAAAAAAGAAGACAAGGTATGCTTTTTACGGTTGTTTATTGATTTACTCGGTACATGCGAAAATTGGCCTATACAATTTTTTACAATTGAACAACAAATACTCAAAAAAGGTTCCTATACAAATATAGGTACACAAAATAATTATGTTCTTTAATTTTTTGTAAAGATTTTTTTCTTGGAAACTTCGAAAATAGAATATAAAAATGTGTTTGCGAATTGCATAGATGAGCATAGAAAAGTGTAAAGTTGTACCTACAGAAGAGATGCATATAATAAAACAAACTGAACACAAATAAAAATTATATATCTTTGTTGTAAAAAAGTAACTAAAATCACCCGTAATTTGATGCATGTTAAGTAAAATTTTACATTTTGAGAACTGTAGTTTTCCTTAGTTTTTTCTTCTTTGTATCTTAAAAAAAATACAGGGTGCGCCAGAACTCGAGCCCCAGAGAAAGAGTAAGATACCAGGAACATGGAAAAAATGTTTAAAATATTCTACCTATAAGAATTTCGAAGTTATGAGAGTTTAAATTTTGCACTTTGACTTTATTTATTTCTGTTGGAAAAATAATTTTCCAAGTTTTTTTCCACAGGCTATTAGAAGAAGAAACAAAGAAGCTGTAGCATAAATTGTAACTCTGTTTAATATTATTTGTGGTTTTTATTGGAAAAATTTTTCTACCTTTACTAAATAATTATATACAAGATTATCAGTATCATTAAATAGACATAAAAAATGTCAAATGTCAAGAAATAAATGTCAAAATTTTTTGATATCTTGATATCTTATGTTGTTTTTATGTACATTTAAGCTTACCTCTTATGTTGCCTTTAATAAAGGCTCTTCTATGTATAAAGTACCTATACGTAGTCAACTACAGCGTATTTTGTACAAACATAAAATACTCTTATCATGGTATTTTGTTAATTTTGTTATTATTTAGACAAATGTCTTTGAAGACAATAAGAGTTTTAAACAATAAAACTTGTGTGGTCTTCAAAAATTTTTCCAACACTAATATTAAATCAGAAATTTCGCTACATATTTGGAAATTATTATAAAATATTTTGTCAAAATAATAAATAAAAGAACTAAAAAATGAATTATATTCGAAAGTTTGTTAGTTAACGTGCTCAGTAAGTTCTTCATTTCTTTGTTTCTTACTGTTTTTGTGGATCAAACCATTTTATGGGTTTATGATGTCTTTTTAGGCTTGCTATAACCAAAAGAGCATATTATATCTACAGTCAAATTTGGTACAAAAATTACAAATTTCCGTTTTTTTTACGATAATTCAAAAACTAAAAATGTCACATTAAGGGCCGGTTTTTCAATCGTTGGTTAACCTCTAGTTAGTAGGTTTCTATGAAAATGTTTGCAATTTAACCAATCAAAATGCTGCATTTGTAGTTTAATTAGAGGTTTAACTTTAACCAAAGATTGAAAAACCGGCCTTAAATTTTCTTTCAGAATTGTTCAGTATAAAAATGCGCAACTTTGTCCTAATTTAACCGACCTCGTATCTCTTATAATAACTGAGATCCCCATGGTGGAACTCGAAAAACGGACACCCTGTACTGATGTACATGTATGTTCATAGCCAAAATAGAAAACAATAATAAAAAAACATTTTCAACCTAACGCTTTTTATCGATTTGCCAGTTATTATTACGATATAATTTTAGTTGACTACCTGAGAACTGAAATATTGTAGTTATTTAGAATGAGATCTGTTTTCTTGATAGCAAAATCTTGCTGAAATCGCACGGCACGCTTGTCATTACAATTTTTTTTAAATTTAATAGAGACTTTTAATAACCAAACCAAACCTCCTTCTGTAGCAGTAGAAATCGACTATTATAGAAATAGGAAACGCAAATTAGAAAAAATATGTATAAAAACTACTTGTCATTTAATGTAGTAATTTTTTTTGAGGGAGTTTGTTTCCTCTATTGAGATTGTGACGTCAGTTGAAATCACGAAAATAAAGTTTTTATATGAACGTCTTCAGAGGCTGCTTGTAATTTTAATTTTTGTTTTTCTTTTCGTTTCTGATTCTGTGCACCAAATTTATACTTATATTTAGATTTTTCCATTATTTATGCCCACTAATAATTAAAAAAAAAATTAATTAAAGTAAATTAAATTAAGTAAAAATGATATTTTATATCGGTTGATTAAAAAATGTGGGCATAATTTTAATTACGAATACTCCTCTACAATTGAGAATACATTGTACAGTTTTTATTGACCCACCTCAAAAAATAGAAAAATTACAACTTTCCAAAAATCAGTATGAAAAAATTATTTTCTGGAAATATWTTTGTTACCGTTTATCCGATTATTATTAAATTTTGCAAAAAAGACATTCTTTGATTTGGTGTAAACGGAAGTCTTGTAGAAGCTATACATTTCCGGTAGCAATGGGTCCTCCCAGTTTTGGGATCATAACTTTTTTTCGGCTTATTAATTTCTGTTTTTGATACAGCCCAATCATTTTTTTTTATAAAAAAGGTAGTTTCATATCTCCAAAATGTACCGTTCTCGAGTTATTTGAGTTTAAACTAAATTCTACACCGCGCTGCAAAATCAGAATTTATAAATTTTGAGCGTACCTTGGAAACAAATTTGAGCGTACCTTGGAAACAATCCACTACGAATGACATCGCTGTCAATGCTGTCATATTTAATGTAAATTTCATTAAATCCAAAGGAATATTTGTTTATTTCTTAATGATTATAAAAGCTGTAATTTTTCTAGTGCTTGATGAGTTGGTTTAATAAATACTGTGCTACTTATGCTCACAAATTTTTGAATCACTTGTATAAATCCACGCGGAATTTTTCTTACATGCGTGTAAGACCTTATAAACACAATTGAGCTAAAATCATTGAAATTATAGAAATTATAGTTTTATTTGTTATGATGGCAATTTTTTAATTCCTTCAAACTAAACACACTTAGCTTCTCCGAAAAACGCGTTTCAGCACTTTATGGATYASCTCYATGCAATATTAAATTATAACCTTCTAATGCATTGAAAAAAGTTTATTTACAAATTTAAAATTATTGATATTATTTCAATGAGCTCTTGACATAATAAGTCTACCATAATTGGGGGCCCGTAGACTCTAAGACTCGAGGGCCTGGGGTGCTGGGGCACCCCGGCACCCCTGGCCAGTCCGCCCCTGATTGAAAATATAGAAAAAACAGTCAATTACCATTTTTTTATTATTAAAACACACCAAATACTTACCAACTTATACATACAGTGATGGACAGTGAATTTCGTCCACCCAATTTCTATGACAGATTAAAAGTGTAAATTAGTCTTTAGGTTTTCCTAACCTTGTTTCAGAATTTTGATAAATGTTTGTCATGTTGACAGAATGCTTGATGCCTCTTGCTACTTTTTACCTTTGTCCTTTGAAATGGTAGTCTTTGGTATGCCCAAAAGTATAGAGACACGTCTTTGAGACATACCCTTTTGTACCAGAGAGATAATTTTTATTTTATTAAACGCACTTACTGCTGGCATGTTCGAATTTGATTAAATTTGACAATACGCATTTGAATGTCAGTTATCATGACAGTAAAGGACAAACTACAGTGAATTTTTGTGAGTTCACAGAAATTGAGTGGACGAAATTCACTATCCATCACTGTACATTGAGGATTTTATTTCGAACATGCGTTTCCATGTTCAGTTTTTGAATATTCGTGTCAATACATTATCACTGATTACTTGTCACAAACGTTGTGTTGTAATTGCTCGTAATGCATTGAAATATTTTTTTTTTAATTGTGTTGATGTTCAGTAAAATAAAATTTACACTGTATATTTAACGACAAATCTTTGTTGTCATTACTTTGAAATTTTTATTCGTAATTAGATTATAATATCTGATTGTTGAAATTATTTCCTAAAACTCAAAGTTGTTCTTTTTTAAAAGTGTTACTGTTGAAAAAACTTTTTCTTTAATTTGTGCATTGTATTCATCAGTGTTGGCACAGATGTGCGATGTCAACGAGCCTGCTGATGTGATATGACAATCAGATTCCCGACAATGGTCTGCGTCACAACATCAAGTTCAGTAATTAATAAAGTCGGGGTAAAGGCTCACAATACAGAGCTGAATACTCGTCATGTCGAAATAGAAAAGGGGGCAGGTTAGTTCCACCAACAGTTTAATTAAGCTATGATTGCTGTTGTATTCAAAATAATTCCATGTCTTCTGACCAACACAACATACTTCTTCACCGATATAATTATTTTTTTCATCACAGCTAGCAGCAGGTCAAACCCGCCAAATTTGAGTTAAATTAAATTTTTCCAGTCGGAGTCGGTAAACCAATCAGTGCCAATTCGTTAATTAAAATTTGATTAAAACAGTAAAAACAAAAAGCTCCATATTTGATCGCATTAATGAACTTTTATTTAGTAAAATCGTGTTTGAAAACCTCTCCAACAATGCCCGGAGGAAATGATTGATTTTAAGCATGAAGTGAATGATTTTTAATTCCGAGTTTCGGACTCTTTGTTCGACAGAAACGTGCAGCCAACAGAAGAATATATGATTTTATTCATTGCGCGTTGTTTCCCTCTCCCCGATATGATCCAACTACGTTCTAGAAAATCACTGTGCAAATTAAAAAAATACAATGCTTTGGCTAAAGCTCACCGTATTAATATATAAATGGACTTTTACAAGGCTTTGCACGGCCGGAAACAATCACAATGTGAGCCAGAGCTGGAAATTTAATATAAAAAACATAAAAAAACATTAAAAACATATTAAACTAAACTGCAGCCCTGATAGAATAGAACGTCTCCACAATGTGACATGTTTATTTTTAACGTAAAGCGTAAACAAAAATAATGAAAATGCATTCATTTTCATGAACGTGTTGTGTCGCATTGTAAATCACTGTGGCGTATGTAATGATACCCGGAACCCGGAATCAGATCCGCAACAGCGCTCCGTACGCTCCAGGCGGGAAAACAAGAAGAAGGTGATGATCTACACGTTCTTGCCTTTGTTTGAAAGCCAACGTGAAGATTCATTCGATGATACACATTTTTTAATAAATATCATTGTTTTACTGCGATTTCTATTGCTGTTCCTAGAAAAATATGTTTTTGTTTTAATGGTTTCAATGGTAAAAATGTTTGGTGTTCTTAGGGTAGTATTTAATTTGAAACAAACTATAGTATTATAATTCACTGAATGACACAGTGATCAAACGAGCCGGTACTAATCCTGTGTATGATCCTTTAAGCTCCCCTTTCAGTATGTGGAACAAATTAGGGTTGAAGCTCTTTAGAAGTCAATTGAAATACGTTTAGTTAATAGCATTTGCATTCAGTGCTTGATATCCATTCCGTTATCTTTGAAAGTCAAAAATGTTAAAATATTATGGTATTTGCATGTAGGTATAAAGACGATATCCAAATGTGAACATTTCAAGATGTTTTTTTAACTTTAATTTTCTTTCAAATTGATACATTGTGTGTTACGTTTAAATCAGATTTACTTATCGATAAAAATGTATAGGAAAGTATGTATTGCTAAAATATTGAACAAATTTAATCTTACGTTTGTTTATTATAAAAATAGAAAGCACGGTAAGATTTAATAAATGTAGGTTGTATATTATTAAAATTTTTGTAGTTTTGCAATAAGGTACACTAAATAGTGCAAATTATATAATTCATTATTTCCAACAACTTGCTAATGATAAATCCCGGAGAAATGGACTGTATTTGTATTTCCCACGTCGGTTGTAATATGCTATTGGATTAAAGAAGAGTTAGTTATTTTTCTAGCTTATTTTTCTTAATGTCCCCGACGTGAATTAAAAATGATAGTTAATTATTATACAAGACGATAAAGAAATTGTTTATCTACGAGTGACAAGGTTAAGTTTACGAGTGACGAAGTTACGAGTGGACTTTTTTCACCAGTAGATAAACAATCTTTATCGTCGTGTTTTATTCGTTTTATTTTGTACTCACCTACCAGAATTTCTTGAATATAAACAGTAAGTGGATAAAAATTATTTTATTTCACCAGACGATGTAAGACTACTTTATCAACTGAAATTAGTTGCTAAAATATAAACATTAAATAAAAATTACTTTATTTCACTAGACAATAAAAGATTGCTTTATCTGCTGAAATTAGTTAAAAAATAAAATAATAAAAGCACTCTTTAATATTAAGTACAAAATAAAACAAATTTAAAATTATACAAATTTATTCTTGTGAAATGTAACGAAAAGACTATTTTAAAGTAGGTTCATACCAATAAAGAGTCTTTGGATCCAGAATGATCTCAGAAAAATGTGTGAAGGACTATGATCATTAAAAAGGTACAGCATTTTAACACGTGTTTAGTAAAAGTAACATTCTGCTCTTCAAAGAACTCTTACCCTTCTTATCCATCTCAATTCGTAATTTTGCTCCCGCATGTTGAGGGTTGGCTCCCAAATTGATCAAAATTTTCATAAGAAATATGCAATAAGTAAAAAAAAATGAATTTTTTCATATTCTTATTTTTATAAACTGAAGATAAAAGTTGCCCAGTAATACATACAGGGTGTTTCACACAACTTTACGAGGCTTGCGCCTAATGTACGCACCCAAATATACAAAATTCACAAAACACTAGACACAAAAAATACACATTTAATTATTTAATTTTTGGAAACCTATGACAGTAGTTGTCAGACTAATTACTGTTTCATTAATAGTCATAAACTGCAGTTTTTCAGAAACAATTATCATTTGTTCTATCAAGAGACGGCATGGATATGATTCTAGTTTAACTATGTAATCACTAATTAACTAAAAATGTTGTAATTTTTGAAAGGATAAACAAACTAGTAAAGATTATCTAATTTTTCAAAATTTGTAATCAAGTTCGTATCGGAATGTGTTATTGATTGCATCTTACAGGCGCAGGCCTCGCAAAATTATGTGAAACACCCTGTATAAAAATAAGTTCAAGAAATCAATTTTAATATAGGTAATATAGGTTATATACAATAAACTAATCAACAATTGTAAGTAGATATTGAAGTGGATATCAGAATTCAATGTATATTGAATTCAAAAAAATAGTTGCTATAAATAACTGAAGAAAATAATCAATAAAAAAACTACATTTAAAATGTAAAATGAATAGAAAAGGTAACTTCTGAAAAGGTGAATTCTAAAATTTTCACCGCCTTTATAAAAATCTAGTATCGGACCTCCCCTGGCTCTTTATTATTAGGTCTCTTATTTTATTTGGATGAGTCATTATCACATTAATAATAAAGTCTTCAGATTTGGCTTTTGAGGTATTGTATCCACCACTCTACATCTTAAAAAAAGGGTATAAAAAATAATATAAAACAAAACGCAAAATGAACTGTCGAAATCGAGTCTATTATTGTCAGTATGTATTTTTAAACATACATTTCAATTGCAAATTTTCAAAAAATAATTAATATGTATTCACAATTGTTGAGCAGTTTATATTTTACATTTGTTAGAACATTATTTTATTAGACACCTTCTTTAAAAGAGTGTTTTTAGGAAATACACTGTTCTCAAAGAATGTGTAGTTAACAAAATTAATTTTCATATTCGTACTGTTTTGATTCATAAAAAAAATATAAAAATGATCATCAAATATGTTTTGAAAAAAAAGTTACAGATTGATGCGTATTTTAATTAGGTAATTATTTATTGTAATTCCATATTTTTTTCTACCTGAAAAAGACAAAGTGTAATTTTTACGTGTGATTTTTTATATCTTGCCCTTTTTGTGTTTATAATTGGCCTTAAAAGTCTTAACTGACTGTATCTACTCCTCAATAATATTGTTAATTCATGGCACAAGTCTGTGTGGTTTTATAATTTTTTATTATATTACTTTTGCAGAAGGCAAAATATGTAACTTTAGAAATATTGCCTAATCACTTTTTGAGATCATTTGCATATGTGGTGTTTTTTTTTTTAAATTCAGCATGAAGTCGTTGGCAGAATAATACGATCGTACCTAAGGGGTTGTAGGGTTGATGAAATTAGAATAGACGCGCAATCGGTTAGAGAAAGGATGCAGGTTTTGATCTCGTCTGCGGTTGGCTGTGTGAATACGCCAATGATCAATGCTGTTAATAAACCAAGCAAGCAGCTCCGAGTTGATTAATTAAACATCGGTGTGTGGCGAGGCTTTCTCCTGTCAGCTTTTGGATTAGATTCATCTGTGCTTTCCCAACAGAAGAACTTTTAAATGAAACTTTAATATTAATTAATTCTCGAAAAAAGAGTGTCGTAAATGCAAAATTTCACAACTCCACATTTAATTACAAAAAGTATGATACACATAAAGGATAGGTAATTCAGCAGACTAATTACTTTACCAAATTTTCTTACCCAAGATTTGAGCACTTCATTAAAAGCTTTCAATCATGCTTAAGTCGCTTTACTTATCTGAGATTACTTTAAGTGGAGGCGATTTGGCTGCAAATGCATTTTTTTTAATTACGACACTAAGTGTTAATGTTTGAAATGTACGCCAAGTTTCGGCATACAGCGAACATGGAGATAAAAATAATTTTATCCTGCAGTATTCGCCGAAAGAGAGGGGTTTGTATTCTCATTCAATCATATCCTCTCTTTTAGAAGCGTTTTGTGTTTTGTGAAATTTTTCAATCAGTGTTGTCGTCCATTAGTTATATTATACACTGGCTGTTTGGCTAATGCATTCTGCCTGAATGAGAGAACAAGGAATTTTACATAATGCTATTTAGGTTCTGTTCAAATAAGGGTGCGTTTTGCTTGCCTTAATCAGACTAGTTTATAATATAGCTTCGTGAAAAAGCCATTGTTATTTTTTGACGACTTTAGACAATAGGAAAGCGTACCTACCTAATTTAGGATTACGCTTCACGGTTGTTCGCCCTCATATTTTTTAAATTATTATTTAAATTTACAGAAAAATCGGTACAAGTATAGAAAAACTGATATTTCGATTCGCCCAAATAATATTTTCATGATAAAACATCAAACCGTTCTTTCAAAGAATTTAATTTTCTCAAACGTTACAGGGAACAAAGCTCTGTAAAAATTCCATTCACAGAATTAGAATAAGAGAAAAACTGCAGTATTACATAAAGGATCCTGTGAATAATAAGACTTCAATTTAAGGATAAATTTATTTTGTCTTTGGGCAAAATACGTCGAAAATATATACAAAAATTTGTCTTTTTAGATTACTTGCAATTAATAAGTTTCTAAATATAAGTGAATAAAACTAGTTTTTTAAATAAGGATCGATTATATTTTTCTGAAACCATCCCCACTCGAATTGCAGGTGATTCCCAATCACTCCCAAAAAGTGAAGTTTCGAATCTTCATCCAGCTTTCGTAAGCCCAGACGATCCTTAAACAAAAACAGGGTAAACTTTCTCCTAGCAAAACAAGATTCCTCTGGTTTTGACATCACCTAGAGGGTGGAACATCAAATATGAACGTGTATATTGGGGTTTTTTTCCTGAAAAAACATCTTTTTAATTGTACAAAAACTTTAAACACTAAGCAGACATTATAGATGTTATTGTTTTGAAATGTGAAGAAAAATAAAATTAAACAAGGCTATGCAAAAGTGTAATTAATTACCTAACATGTTGAATGTGAACTGGGACATTGTTATGGAGACTTAAAATGGCATATGAGCATGAGCACGTAAAAGTGTTTTTTTACGGATTATTTTAGGTTACTTTACTGCCTATTTTGTTGACTTTATGAACGATTTCAGAAAAAAGGTTTAGTTCGATCATAGTAAAAAATGTATATTATTTTTATGTTTAGTTTACAGAAACTCATAAACGGTTCCAATTTCATTTGGAACGTGTTTTTTTTTTAGTTGAGCAGTCATAAAAAATCTGAAAAATAAGTACCAGTTACATGTTCCACCCTGTGTATCTTATTTACATTTTCGCATTGCATACCTATCTCAGGTACGATTAGTATGTGTGTCACAACACGTACCAGAAATAAGTAGATTAATTTTAAGCAATTACAGAACTCGCCAAGAGCAACAACTTTTCCACAATTATCTATTTTTGGTTTCTATTTAGATATTTGCTAAAATATTAATACAATTTGTCCTTGAAACTCATTTTTGTATGCATACAAGTGTTCAAAGTTGTTTAAATGTGAAAATGATGAGTGTTAAAAATCTGCTTTTTAACAAAAAGTTTTGTCTTACTTCGGTATAAATCGGCGATTCCTTCAAAGTCTGAATCATCGACGATTGCCCTGGCTTATAAAACCCGAACCACTCCGTTTCTCTTGGCTCAACAATGGTGTCATTATCAAACTTGACTAAGACAAAATTATCCAAGGTTTGTAGTCTTTGAACATATTCGTCATTAATTGTGATTTCGTTGTTTATGTCGGACAAGAATGTGCTGTAATTTTTATATTCTTGCTCATGAAGTGGATCGTGCCAGTATGTGGCTTGAACTAGAGCTTTCTGAACCCACCTGCAAAATATTTCATTAAAATTATTTATCCTTCTTGTTGTTTACTTCATCTACTCCAAATAAGCAGCGTGATTCAACAGTCTTCTGATGTAATCACAAATCGAATGTGATAAGGAACCACAGTTGGGTAAGCCGTAAACACCCTGATGTTGGCCTCCTAACGAAATTAAATTCTTTATATGGACTTTTGGGCATCGTTGTAACAGTCCGCGCCTGAGTATAAAAATTGGTTTTATTTGTATCGAAGTAAAGAAATTCTTACAAAAATTGGGCTCCCTGTGAGAATCCAATGCCGTTGAAACCATCAGATAGCAGAGGATCGGCCTGTATTAAATTACAAGCCATGTTAATTTGCTTGTCGGGGTGCAGAAAATATCCATTTTCAACATCATTTACTTCCGAAGAACCGATTCGTAGTGAAACAACATGAACACCCGGTAAAATTTCTTCCAATTTTTCTTTTACTGCTCCTAAACTGAATGAAAAACAGCAGCTGTCTCCTAAAATGAGCAAGAGGCTTAAAACTCGACTCAAATAAAATTTCATTAAATGTTTTTCCTTTGCAGTTTAGCGTAAAATCAAAGATAAAAAATTTGTTCCTCTTGTAAACCCAATCCGGGGACATACTATAGACATATCGTCTTGTTCTTCCAATAAATTTCATTGGTTATACGTGTTTGGATTGTAATCAAAGAGGGCCTCAGAGGGTCAGAGAAACTACGGACTACTAATATTTAATAAAAAAAAGTTTTTTTTAATTCTTCCTGGATAAAAATTAAACCAACAAAAAAAATCCTTGCACAATTTCTCTCAGAAGTATTTTTTATTTTAATTCCTATGACAGAATTTGATTAAAACCGCCTCAGTCTGTATAGAAAGTAAAACAGAAATAAACCATTTATTAATAATATAAGATACAAGTGTACATGACTTAAAAGTATAGCCTGTAGACCCTCAAAAATATATAATGTTGTCTTTGTTCACTCTTTCTTCTTTGGCTTATTTATTGTCTTACTCGTAGATATCATTTTCTACTTCTTGTATAAAATATGTTACCACACTTTTATTAAGAGTTTAGATATTGTATTATCCAAAAGTAATACATAAAAGTTCATTAAATTTTTACTTCCGTCACGGATTGTTTTTTTCCTCTTTTCTCCGTTACGTAACGTCAATTATAAGAGAAGTTTTATTTATACCACGCAAAGCTAATTAAAATCAACAGATAAAATGAACTTAAACTAAACCACTGCATAGACAAAGAAGTTGAAATTTATTTGTCATCATTAATATTTAAAAACACATTAAACCATATGAAAATTGTAGGTAAGCTCTCTAGTTGAATTAAGATTCTTTTAAATTAGGTAAAGGGGCTAATGAAAATAATTTTTTAATATAGGTGATTAAACTTGTCATTAAAGTACATTTCTAAATAACTGATTTGAATTTTCTTCCGCTTAATAAACTCAGACACTTGCTACTCAAAATACCGTTATAATGTAACCAGTGGCGCAGAAATAAAACTGTTCCATTAAAAATAAACTAAAGCAATGGAATAATTAAGTGATTTTAAACCTCCAAAACTGTATAATATAAATTTTAACTCTAGCATTGTGTATTAAAATGATAGTATAGTATCATATATTATTTAAATAAAAACTAAATGGAATGTAACAATGAAATTAATTTCTTCAAATTTTTCTATATATCAATTTTTTACACATTAACTTTTTACTTAATTAACAAAAATTATTTATACATTCTTCAAGGTTGTTACAATTTTCGAAATTATCGTATCAAACATTAAAAATCGTCCAACTAATTAATTTGTCTCATAATTACAATTACAGACAAAAGATATGAAGATATTCTTGTAAAAAAAATGTGCCAAACGGCAGGGCTAATGGAAAATGCCTGCACATGTGTGTATTGAGTGATGAAGTAAACATTGAAAAATTTTCTTATCTCGAATAGCAAAACATTGCATTTATACATTGACATTTCAGTGGCGTGCTTCATTTTTTTAAACCTATTTTAATAAACCGAGTGGGTTAAAATTGTAAATAATTAACACCAATTCATGAATAGTTATTTATTTTTTTGTATAATAAAAAGTAATAATACAAAAATATGCTATTGTCAGTTCTCAAAATAGAACAAACTATATACGAGTATAATATGTATTATGAAAATTTGATACGCCACTGCCGGCAACAACAATAATAACATAACCTACAAGCAGTAAAAGAAAAAAACTCTTACCCATTCCATGCCACAAAACGATCGGTGTAAAATTACCGTCTTTAACTTTATTAGCACTGAAAGTGTTAAACAAAAGTGTTAATATCAAGTACTTAAATGTTATTCCGTTCATTTTGGAAAATCACGAATGAACGGCTATAAATAAATTATTTAAAGATTAGACCGATCTACTTAACAGTACATAGTATAAAAACGTTCCTCTTATTAAGTGGTAAATTATTCAACGCTTGCGCGCTACATGTTGACAGGACACAACGTTGTAAACATTTACAAGAGATATTCTAAGTACCGCAACTTCGAAATTAAAATTTTTATATTCGATTTCATATTTCATACATTTTTGGTAATTTTACATTACTAAAGAAAAGGATTCCATCCATGCGTTGGTGAACGTGGCTCTCGAAATCCGACTTGTAGGAGGAAATTGTTCGTTATTGTTGTAGAGAAATGTGGCGGTGGAAGCACCTTTGGCACACGCACATCTCAGCATTTCTTCTTCATGAGGAGTTATAATTTCACATACGTGCATGTAGCACACAGGTCTGCCGTTTTGTTCTTTGGGAGTTGTGGTAAATAGGTGGATCAAATGGCGTCTTTTATTGGTTTCGGTGTCTGTCTCTTGCGTCGTTGTCTTTGTAAAGTTGTCATTGTTTCTGTAAAAAATATGTCTTCTGTAGACAACAAATCTAAAGTTTCTACCAAGATTTTTTCAAGACATACTATTATCCACTCCCGCTTACAGCTTCTTAAGATATGTATCTGTTTTGGAATATCGAAAATGTTATTCTTGATAAACGATCACATTTTAATAATTGTACTTTACGCTACACTAATAAATAAAGTAGTTGGTTCCCTACTTTTTATTCACCTTGTAAGGTATACATGAATTCTGTAATATTTCTTGTTAAGAAAATTTCAAAAGACTGTAGAAAACACTGTTTTTATTTCAGTGATTAAAAAAACTGCTAAACTAAATTTAAAAATATGTAATAGTGATTCGTTTTAATTTCAAGTCATTCAAAAATTTTTCGGGTAAGAAGGGAGACTATAGTAGAAAAAATTAAAAAAAATTATGTTAAACAACAGGAACAAAAAAACAAAAATGTGAATAAATTTCACTCATATTTCGTATAATTCTTGTATTTTTAAGATATTTTGAAGATTTCATACTAGTTTTATACAATACAATTTTAGAGAAAAATATGCAGTAACATTTACACACAATGTTATAAAAAGCTTTTCATTTTGTCTTTTAGTTCTGAAACTAGATATAATAACATTGTGATTGTAATATTATGATATTACGCTTATTAATGTTCATTGAAATATTATTGTTACTAAAAAACATGAATAAAGAAAGTATTAGGTGTTAACAAAAATAGCAAAAAATCGTATTTTTTTTTTAAAGCAAGACATTCGAGTATGTTCTTGTTTTTTTTTTATTTGGTAGTAAAATTATTACAAAATATATTTTCTAATATAGGTAAGTAAATTCTTGTAAATTTAAAAAATGTTTTTTTGAATTTACGCAATTATATTTTTGTGTACAATTTTTTGTGTATTTTTATTTTATTTTACTTTTCAACCAAAAAACTTGAATAATTTTAGCGAAAAATAAAAATCGATTTAGAAATTTTTTATTAAAAAAAATCTTGAGCTAGATCAAATGATACTACAACTATCATTAACAATTACAAAATGAATTGAAAAATTTTTAAATCTCAAATTTTCTTCGGTGATACCAACCAAATTCGTTATCAGATTGATGTATGTCACAGTTTAAACTCAGTTCATCAAATTATTGTTTATTAAAGGGAATTTATCGTTGCACAAATATTTGGGAAACCCAATAATTTTACTAAAATAGATTCAAATTATTTACTAATGTGCCAATAGAAAAACAAAATCTTATAATAATAAAGATCAATAGAAACTTCAAAGCAACTATTATTTAGTTTATCAACGTATGTATTGTTTAGTTTTTATCTAAAAGTACCACCTTTTGTTACCTTACGTCATTCAAGTATAAAAGTTTTATGTATAGACTATGATGCACTAATGTAGCTATTTCTATGATATTCAAAAATTTCGAGGTCATCTGTGAAGTACTTTCACTAAAAAATAGTATTGCAAATAGTTACGTTTTTTGAAAAAAATTTAAACAAACAACAATGAAATAAAAGTAAAAATAAATGTGTCACAGTTACATAGATTACAATTATTCTGAGAAATTAATGAAAAATTTTCATTTCTACTTACAAATTTCTTTCGGGCATCATTGCGTCATACAGTGACCGGAAGATCCATAAGACTTGTAAAATTACAAAATAAAAAACACTCACTGCAGATCTCATAGCCGTCTACCAGCATAACGATTCACACACCGACTTGAATGAGAGCTCTAAATAATCTGAATCATTTAAAATTTTAACCATACTATAAAGAACGCGTTTATTATCATAAACAATTATTTACTTTTTACGTAAAGCTAAACAATATATTGTACACAAATACGCGCATTGGAACCATCAAATCATCCGACACTAAAAATAAAATGACTAATGTGATTACCTTTTGCGTTTGTTAATAAGATTAAATACGACACATCGCACTTCTCAGTGCAACTGTACGGATTGAGTACATACATATAATTATAATGACCTTGAAAATATATTTAAATTATTAAACTCGCAGATCATTCATTCTGACAATTTTTTATTGATTTTTATGAAATTACATTGAGATTAATTTACATAACGTGTGCACTTTTTATTCGTTTAGATCTGGAAGTAATGGACCGTCTGTGTCGTCCTTTGGTGCCCCGTTTATATTTAATGAAGAAAGTAGAGTCAAATTGTCCATTTCGTTGTAGTTTGGCTCGGTTTGCTGTCGATCTAAACCGGGAATGAGTGGGTCGTTTTCGGTGATACCATCAAGTCTTGTATCAACTAAATTACTCAAGAGATTTTCTTCAATTTCGTGCACCTCTTCACCGTTTTCGATTTCTTGTTCTTCCTCATCGACTTCTTGCTGTAACAGGAGCCGATAATAACAAACGATCGTGACACATTTAGTGTGTTTATACTATTCCGGAAAATTCTACCGAGTAAACAATGTTAAATTTATTTCTTTTTTTATTTACAAGTTGGAAACACTTTAATTGTCCGAAAACGTTATTACCTGGACTACGGGAGTAGTTGATTTGTATTGAAAGGCACTATTTGAGAGGTCGACTTCAACTGGGAAAAGGGCAGGGCCTGATAATAACTCTAATGCTTTGGAATGCACTTCTGACAATCCTTTAATTAGTTTTGTAAGGTGGCCTCCTAAAGATTGGACGTGTTTGTTGTCTAAAAGTTCCATTTTTACGAGGACGTCAGATCGAAGTTTGGCAAATCGGGCTCTTGCCAACTGGCGGCAACGTAAAATTAGTCTAAAATAAAATTTTTAGGATTATGGTAAAAACACAGTTCAAGTCTTGCGAAAAAATAAAGTTGTATCCACAACTGTTTTTAAATGCTTGTTTAATTTACATTTTATAAATACATAATTGTACACATAATTAAATAAAACATTTTTTGTTTATATTAGATTTTTAGAATAATATTAATTAAATAATTTTTTTTTTAGGTTTACAATTCTTCCAACGAAAAATATAAATCTTTGATTGTTAATAAATCAAGGAACTGTTTAATATTATGGAAAATTGCTGAGAGTCTAAGTTTTGGTAATAATATTGTTTATTCAAAAAAAAAATTCTCATTGTTTTTGTATCTATTTTGGGCCTCAAAACCAATTTTTGAGTTACTATAGTTTTCGTTAGGAGAGTCGAATTGCGAATTACAAAAAAATGCATGTAGAAAAATAAAAACAAAAGCAATTGATTTAAAAATTATCAATTTTTAAGTTTAAATTGTTGACAAGTAATGAGTAAACAAAAGAAATAATTATTAAAAAATTTTAATAATTAAAACAAATTATGTATTTTTTTTTTGGTTTTGCATCAGAAAAAACTAAGATTAAATTAAATATCAGGGTCGATTTATAAAAAGCTAATAAACGTCAAATTAATCTTGAACTAAAATTTAATTGCAATAATTACACAAGGTAGGTAAATAAAAAGTATAGAAACAAACGTTTTTTGCTTAAACTATTTATTTTTTGAAAAAATTTATTGATAAATTATAAAAAAGTGTCGTTTTTTGAAGAATGGAAGTTTTCGAAATTTTCTTTTGTTTTTTAGCACTGCAAAATTATTAATTTTTTTAAATGATTTAAATTAAGTTGCTGTTAACAAAAATCGCAAAACTCAAAAACAAAATAAAATCTCATTCTTATTTTTTCTCATTTTTTAAATTTTCTTGTACGAGTATGTAGTGGTAAAATTTACTTCTTTTTTTCATAAAAAGGTAAGAAGTTAGTAATTTTTTTTATTTTTAAGCTTTTTCAAATGTCCAAATTTATTTGAAAAATAGTTATTTGTTTTTAGAAAATTTTAAAAGTAACTCCTTTATTAAGCTTTATTTAAATCATTGCTCGTTCACAATAAGTATTTAACTATTTATTGTTCTTTTTGATAATGAAGGTCTGTATAAATGAAAATATGTATTAGAAAATGGTCAAAAAAGTCCATTAGTATTGATAATAAGTAATTAACCAGTAACATACAAAAATCGGCAAAACTTTACAAATTTTAATTAAAAATTTATCTAATTGAATGCATAGTATAATTATGTAGTTATTTAAAAAAAGTACGCAAAACCAGGTTTTACATCGTCGCAAAGAAGTTTTAGTGTTGTCTTTTTACATAAAAAAACTTACTATTTTGTAAAAAGGGGAAACCTGTGATATGTATAACATACCTGTATTCATAGTTTCCAGTTTCAACTCTGTATAATGGTTCTTGCAAAGCTGCATAACTACATTCCTCGTCATCCATCTCTTTGACTTTCAAACAATAAGCCAAGTATTCAAATTTGGCATCTGCATATTTTTTGACAGTTAATCTCGTGTCTGGAATCGCCTTATACAAATATGTGCCCATATCGGCTAAGACCTAAGAAAAACCCTTTAAAATTTTCACCTTTTAAGATTTTGAACTTACTGGTTTCACTTTTTTTACCATATCCTGGCCAAATTTCTCCATACTACGATGCTGCTCACCAAAAACTCTAAAAGCTTCACTTGCTCGTGGTTGGGGTTCTCTTACAGCCAAACCGGCAAAAACGTCACCCATTGCTTTGATTGCTTGTTGAAGTTCAACATGGGCCTAAACGACTTTTACAATTTTTGGAAAGTATGGAAAACGCAAACTTTACTTGTAATACTCGTTTAGAGTGATCGACCAGTCCTCGATACATCAATTCGGTGTGCTGTAACTCTTGTAATTTTTTAACTAAGGTGTCGTTGCACAGAATTGCCCGTGAAAGACCTAATGCGTCAGCAGTAGAAGAACTCATGTTTTCGACTAGACGATGTTTCATTTTTTTCAATACAATGTCCAAACTCTTGCCTTGTTGGGGATCGGCGTGCAGTTTATTGTAATTGATCACAACTTCGTCCTAGAAAAGTTTCATTGGGGAAAAAATTAAAACGAAGAAAAAGTGTACTTTCGCAGCTTGGATCATTTTAGCTACTTCGACTTTAGTTTTGCCCTTGACTGATTGTCCATTTACTGAGACAAGTTCGTCTCCAGATTGTAGAGTCCCATCTCGACTTGCAGCAGTGTTATCAAAAATTTGAACAATGTATAAACAAGGGCACAGTGGGGCTCCCCCACCGATGCTTATCCCAATTAAATTATTGGCGTCTTTTTTAATAGTGATGCTTCCAGAAGTCACAGTCATTCCCCTAAAAAAATATTTTCAATTTGTTACATTTACGGAAGTTTAGCTACACACTAAAGCGGCAAAAATCTAAATTTTGTAATGCATATGTTTTATTCTCTTAGTTTACATTTACAAAAGTATAAAAATATTTTGTTCAAGGATCCTAAGTGTGTCGTGACTAGGAATTCTAAATCTACAGCTAACGGTGTGGGGTGAGGTGTACATTTTCTAGCGTGCGACACTTGGTGTTCCTGAAAAAAAGAAAAATTAGCAAAAATGTTAAAGCACACTACGCACGCTTCTCTAGTGCGTTTAATGCTCTAATTAAGTTGCATAATGTGACAAGTGATTAATGACTATTACAAACCAATGAATTGAGTTGTGCTTGTGTTTAAAATTTTTATGACTAAATTATTTTTTGTGTCCCATAAACGTCGAATCATTTGTTTGAATTTTAAAAGCTGCAGGTGGTTGAAATTAAAAAATAAATTATTACTATAATTTTCTTGAATAAAGGGAATTTTCGTATGGTTTGTTGGTTTAAAACAACGTTTTTGGAACACCTGTGCTCGTGTGACTGTCTGCATTAGTCACAAATCAATTCAATTATTGCACATTTAATTTATAATTTGTTACAAACACTAATAAAAGGACTGCATTGCAAAATACAAAATGGATAAATCAGAAAAAAAATTGTGGTGCTGAGAACAACTTAAAGATTTGTTATTGTTATAGTAAAAGAAATCAAATATAGGAAAGTAATAATTACGAACAAACCTAAGTTATGTTTTTTTACCTAAAAACTAGTATTGATTTTTTTGTAATTAAAATGTCTTGTGTTTATGATGCTTTTGATTTTGTTTAGTTATTTTGCTACACAGTTCCTTTTATTCATTTTAAATTTGAAATTGTGAAATACTTACAAAGTGTTTTCTCTGTGACACTTTTCCCTTGGGCTCATATCAAATAACAATACTTCTAAATCAGTATTCTTTTGTTTTTCAACTGAAGAAGGGTTTTCTTCTATTGTTTGCTCTTCTTTATTTTGTCTACTTATTTCAAAAGTTCAAAATAATGGTAGTCCAAAAATGCGAGGAAATAAAATACAAATAAATAAAAATACTAAAGAAATATTATTTTATTTATAGTACTATTTTTCATAAGATACTCATCGCATCAGGGTGGTGATTTATGATTATTTTATTCATATTTATGACTTATTTTTTAATGATAAAATAAATTTTAATTAACATTAGTGCAATCTTCGAATTTTATCAATACAGAAAAAGTATGTAGCAACATAAAAAATATAAAATTTTCTGTAACTTACACATTCAAAAAAGATCATAACTTACACAAAATATCAAATGTGAGGTGTTTTGTAAATAAAAAAAATAAAGAGACTTGAAGAGGAAACGTTTTTCTAGGTTTTTGGTATTAGAATGGTTAGGTTTTTAATTTTGTTTTAGTTTAATAACATTAATTAGTGAATTAGTTTTTATTTTATAAGAAAATATTTTCCGATTGCTGAACTAAACAGAAGATAGAAGTTTTGTTATAAAGTTTTGTTAAATGTACTCGTAATATTTTTTTGCTTTTTTTATTTTAATCCTTGGTGCAGCCTACAAACATTTTTTTTTTCTCGAAATTGATATTTTTCTCTATAGATCTGCGGAGAAATTTACTACAACTGTGATTATAATGCCAAAGTTAAATAAAACAATTAAAAAAAAACAACTAATAGCTTTAACAGTCAGTGGTGAAAAATCATCTCCAAATCAAATAATAATGCAATGATTGTATGTAGCTACATTTTTGTTTTAGTTAGAATAAGGATATTAAATAGTACTTACATTGTATCTTCTTTTAAAAAATAATTTCTTCTTATTTGATAATTTGGATAAAGTTCCGATACGTGCAACATCATCATATTGTAATGCCTCGAATTTAACATTTACCACAAATTATATAAATTTTCACACTGATGTTATGGAAATGGTTTACAATGAAATGGAACCGGAAGTAAGTACTATCAGTTTTAGATTAAACTACAACATGGGTGTAGGCAAAATACTTCATACAATTCGTTTACGGCATATTTTGAATTTTGTGACTTGTCACTTATGACTTATTATTGTCACCCTATCCACATATCAGAATAATAACAAATGTATTTAATAAATTTTGTAGGTACATAAGATAATGTATTAATTAACATTCATTCTGTATGTACAAAAGTATAAACTCAATCATGCAAACAATTCTGATTAATTTGTATCTTATTATCAAGATGTCACAAATGTGACAAATGGAAAAAATATTAATTTAATGCTAATTTATAAGAGTATTTGAGCAAGAACTGATAACAATACACTAGGATGGAATAAAATCAATACGTGTTTAACTTTATCAACTTACATTTTATCCTCTTCGAGAAAATAATCATATTCTAGGTCCAACATGGTTGAAATAATTGAAGTTTGATTAAATCACCTTTCTTAAAAAGTATAATTTGATAAAACAAATAATATTCGCGATAATACATATAACCCTGCGTCGAGACGCCTGTTGATAACGACGCCGAATCAGTTTGCTCAGTGACAGCAATGGAGCGAAATTCAAATTTATCACGAGCACCTACAATTCCCAACTTCTATTTCAAAGCAGGCGCTTTTAAAATTCTTGTTCACAAAACAATATTACAAATTATAACCCTGATGATACCAACTTGGTGAAACACATGTTTCAGAACTAAAAAAAGGTTTCGAAAGATTTAAATGTTTTATTTCTCAGTTGATTGTAGTAATGTAATTTGTGCTGTATAATGTTTAACGATTTATTCAAGTTTGACTGAAATAATAAAAACATATAATTATAATTAATTAAATATACTTAGTAATTAGACAAAAACACTGCTTACGTAATTCTTATAATACATGTTTAGTCATAACTAATTTTTCAAACTAAATTCTCATCGTTATTGCTGTTAGAATGTCTTTATGATGTTTTGTTTATGTCGAAAAATCACTGACTGTTTTTTACACGTCATTTATTTCTTGCTCAGCAAATTTCTATTGTATTAATTATTTTGTTAATGTTATTGATCTATATTTATGGTTGTAATAACAAAGATTTGATGAAACCAGTTTGTTCGCCTACAAGGTCAATTCAAGACATAGAGAATCCCAGATTACAGTTATCTTAATGTAATTCCCAGTTCATTAAAGAAATAACAATATTTAGTGTCAAAATGTTTGTTAAAAGAGTATCACTGCTTATATTTCTTTCGACAAACTTTCTTTCTTATGAACAGTTTGCGATCCCAGATGCTACTTTAGAAGCCTACACTCCTAAAGGATTTAGGGCATCTATACCTGGTAAGTTAGAAACAAAAGGATCTACATAATTACTGTAACCTATCATAATTAATGACCAAATCACTCGAATGCATTGCATAACTACGCAATATAATTTACTATTAATAGAAGTTTTTGTGTTTATCGCATATATTTTTGTCCATTGACAGAACGACATATTATTTTTTTTTGCTGAAACCGGTAAAATTTATATTAAATATAATACCAACCATGTTTACATTAGGAACTAGAATTCAAATGCAAACTTTTTTCACAAAAATAATGTATGTCTTTGTATAGTTTTTCCAACGTTAGAACGTTTCAAAAATTAAAAACATTAAAATTAATACATAGGTATTTAAGAATATTCGTATAAGTATGTTAAAAGAAAGGGATTTTTTGTAGTGTCATTTTTTGTATTACACACGTGTATTAGCAAAATTTTAGACTCAGTTTATTTTCTATTCAGTCTGTGCCTGGATACCTACAATTATTATTACAAGTATGTATAAGCAATTATTGCATAAAAAATTATCTTCTTACTTGAAAATACTCATGTGGTTAAAATTGTTTGCATAAGCGCCGAGGGAAGTACTCTATACAGGTCCATTATAAAATTTTGTATATGATTTCAGATTTTTAATTTAGACTAATCCTGTAACAAAACAAAATGTATTTAAAAAAATAGATACGTATAGTTATGCTTAAAAGTTTCTTGTTATTTTTCCAGCTTTGCCAGGTATTCAAATGTTTGCATTTCATGCAAATGTAAACAAAAATATAACACAAGTTGATCCCGGCGATTACAGACAAGACTACACTTCTCCTGAGGGCAAAGTGTGGTCTTACTTTAATAGTGATTTGTCTCTACAAATCGGGGATACCGTCCACTATTGGGTTTTCGTTCAATTTGAAAAATTAGGGTACCGAAAAGACAACGTAATATGGACTGTTACCGGTAATTTGTCTTTTTGAAATGTGAGACTATTTATAATATTCAGATTAACGTAGAACTTCTTCAGTTACCAAATGGTACTTGTGATCCTACGTCGACAGAGGTTAATGGACAAACTCAAGTTTGTAAAAACCTGGTTGTTTTTGAAGATAATTTTAGAGGTGATAAAATTAATGAAAATAAGTGGTTTTTGGAACAGTATATACCGACATATTCTAGTGTGGTAATTAAATTTTTTAAATAAATCTAAATAGGGATACATTACATTGTCATATTTTATTTCAGGATTCTGAATTTGTTTCCTACCAGAAAAAACAGTGTTACATCAATGGAGATAAATTATTTATAAAACCTCATGCTGCACAGAACGACGATGATGTGAATGGTGAATTAGACTTCCGTGGAAAGTAAGTATTTTTCTTTTTTGAAACATTTTTTTTTCAATAAATTGTATTTAGATGTACACGTCAATCAGAAAATGAATGTTACCTAGTACGAGCGATTTACTTAATAGTTCCTCCAGTAGCTTCTGGTAGAATTGTTTCCAAGTTTAAATTTCGATATGGTATAATCGAAATTAAAGCCAAGTTGCCCGCTGGGGACTGGATCTATCCTCGTAAGTGCTACAAAATTTTGACTACACTTAATTAACTACTTTTGCAGAAATATATTTGGAAAAAGTAAGTGATCCTAAAGAGAAAATATGGATAAGCTATGCTAGGGGAAATGATCAACTAGTATTGAGAAATAAAGAAGATCTTGGTGGTAAACTACTTTTTGGTGGTCTAGTAATAGATCCAGAAGAGCCTGGAAGAAGCCAATTTTTAAAAAGCAAACGTAACAATTCTCCATTTACGAAAGAAATGCATGTTTATACAGTCATTTGGACTAAAGGTAGAAACGGCGAAAATTTGATCTATAGAAAAGTATTTTTTAGTGTTAAATTTCTTTCAGATAAATTGTCTTTGCTAGTGGATGGTAACCAATATGGTGAATTAGACAGGGAAGCCCTTAGCCTAATAAACTTCTCAGAAGACGATATGGTAGTTAATTATTTGTATATTTTTGATATTCCTGTAATATCCGGTCTTAGGTCCATATAGTTTTGGGAGTTGGTGTTGGTGGAAATAATGACTTCCCTGATGATGCCCAATCAGGGAATAGCAGAAAGCCATGGAAAAATAGACATCCCAAAGAAGTGAAGCAGTTCTTTAATGCAAGGTCTGAGTGGCTTAGCACTTGGAAGGGTGATAATACAGCTTTACAAGTCGATTACGTCAAAGTTACGGCTTTATAAAATAGTGAAATCGGATAGGTTACTTAATGAAAAAAAGTGCCATATATCATTTTATTGACAATTTTAGAATAAAAACATTGAAACATTAATACAATCATGAAAACAAAATTAAAACTCATGCAACATAAAGTTTGATCACCTAGAAATATCATTAAGCTTTAAAAAACATATTACATGAATCTATGTAATGATGAAAACATCGTCTTGTGCTGAAAAAGATTTCATGAAACAACAAGTGCGTGTTATAGCAGTGTTGAAACTACCATCGACCGCATCTGCATTGTGTTTAATTTCAGACATTTCAATATCAAATTCCGTTAAGTTACTTTTTTCATTTGAACTAAAATTTAAATCTTCTTGTATGCTCATTTGTGTCTCACCTAAAATGTATAATACACATATATAATTTTACAAGATTTTCATATAAAAAATTACCGTTTTCTTCATTAGTAGCAGTTAAAATATAGGAACCCAATGACTGGCAATTTGGTTGTTTGACTGCTTCATTATTAGGTCCGGGACTTACTACCGACATAGACATATGACCTCCCTCACCACTTTGTTGAATTACTGTGGCAACTACGGGTATTTTTATTTGAACAGTACTCCCAACAAGATTTTGTTTATCTTCAGTCAAATCTTTGAATAAAAATCTGTAGTAGAGAAAAATGGTAAAAATACAATCGTACTTTCTAGCGATGATTCAGGAGTTGTGGTTTTTGGAGTAACTGATATCTGACCATGCTTCTTCAAATCTTCAGCACTTGCTGGAACTAGCATTTGTTTATCGTTTCCAGCTGGTAAAACGCGAACCAAAACAGGAATTCCCGTTAATGGTCTTAGTAATGCAAATGGTATCTGATTTGTCTCTATCGCTAGTTGCATTGCTTTAGTTTTGATTGGTTCCACAAATATTGCGTTAGTAATTCTATCATGCAAGACATTTTTTAAATGTTACAACTATAATAACTTACTTTTGCTCATCAGATAAAAATGAATCAATTGCTTGATTACTCTCCCTATGTTCATATTGTTCGTGATTTCTTAAAGCTATACGTTTCGGAAAAGTTCTTCTACAAATCTGGCAAGAGTGCCTAGGTTTATCCATGCGTTGATGCGACTGAAACATTATTAAAACATTTTAGGGGTAGTGGTAAAAACGGTGCTTCATTACTTTTAATTTATGACACATCAAGTTCGACATTTGGTTAAAACCTTTTCCACAGTCATCGCACTTGTATGGCCTTTCATTGGTGTGGGTAAAAATATGATTACGAAGGTTTCCTACAAGGAACAATATAAAATATTTTGTTATAGAGGTAATAACAATAACCTTTTTGGTGAAAAGCTTTATTACATAAATGACACTGATGCGGTTTAATACCGGTGTGAGTTTTCCGGTGGGAAATTAACGTAGAGACGCGATTAAATGTTTTTTGACAAATTTCACAAACGTAAGGCCTTTCATGCGAGTGGATAGCTCTGTGTTGAGAAAGTGTCGACATTTGTCGAAATGCTGTAAATAATACAGTACAATTAAAAACATTAGTACACCTCCAAATACTACGTTTTTTGAATTATTACAGCATGTGTATACGTACCTTTTCCGCAGGTATTGCACTGAAATTTTCTTTCATCAGTATGCGTGGGCAAGTGGCGCATTAAAGTATATTGATGACCAAATTCCTTAAAGCCTAGATTAAGATGAAATTTTTAGTCTATTGCTTTTTTTGTGATATAAAAAAGTAAAAAATAAATATACTTACAAGTTTTGCATTGCCATATCTTTACATGTTTCCCATCTTGCAGTTTATATTTAACAAGATACGGTATTTCATTTTTTATAATTTCTAATTTGCATAAACCATCCAAATCTTTCAAATTGCTCAAATCTAATGGCGACCGATTGTTTAAATTTGCATTAACGTCTAACGCATTTGAAAATATGTTTGATAAGTAAGATGAACTGGGTTGAACAGAATTTGCATTAAAACCTTCAAATTGTAGAAAATCGATTTCTCTCTTAACATCCCTAGAATTGTAAACAGAAGATGTTAATTTAAAAACTGAAGGAGGTAAAACTAATTAGCGACCTTAAAACTTGATCACAATTTTAACACATCTCTTTAAGATTTTAACAATGAATAAGATAATTAATTTAACCTACAACTAAGTATCAAACTAACCCCTAATGTATTTAATGTACAAATCATAAAAATAGTCTGTACTTATGATGTGCGGTGATGTGGGGGAGACCTAATAAACAAAACAATTTCAAAATAAATGCTGCTTTAAAAACAATTTATTGAATATTAATGCTTTTGTTAAAACAGAAGTTACAAATGAAGTTGCCATATGTGTCTTAAAACTACTTATATTTTTAATCGGTTCTTTGCTACTTAATAGTACTCACCCATTATTTTCCTTGTCGAATTTTAGAAAATCTGCATTTAAGTTTAGATGATCCATTTCATCTAATTCTACTCTTAAAGTATTACAAGAGCTTGAAGGAATTTTTGTAACTAATGCAAACAGATTTTTCACAAAAAATACTCACATAGTCAAAAGCACACTTAATCAAGTAATAATAAAAAACAATTAAATACTTATAGCAAAAAATTTAATCGTCTATAAATTAAAAAAAAAATTGAGATAAAGACAAGCTAGTGAATGCATTTTGTTTTGGAAATTGTTAAAAATTGAATGTTGATGGATTTTCATTTGACTAATTTTCAGAAAACTGCCATAACCTTCTAGATTTAAGTGAATATTATTGATTTTTTGTAGATTATGGTTTAAATTCAGTTTAAAACACTAAAATAATAACAAACGGGATGAAAACTATTTCAAATTTTGAAATGAATAGAAAATAACACTCATGCGCAGAAAATTAAGAAATTTTTTTATGAAGGATTGGAGCGTCACCTGGCGATAAAAAGTGGCATTGGTGGTTTTGTTATGACGCTAATGCGGGAAGTTTAAATAATTTTTACATTTAAACGTTTTTTACATTAAAAATACGATGAGTGCAACTTTACATCTATGACTAATTTTAGTAGCTGCATTGTGTATATCAATTTTATTATGCCTACAAGGTAAGTGAAGGTGTCATACTATTGACACAATTTTTGAGGTTATGTTTAAGTAAAAAATGTGTTGTGTTTTTTTAGCGCACATTGTAGTGTGAAATTTTACAGTAGTTTGCGTTAAGATTCAATAGTATTATTCACTCATCAAAATGATTGATGAAGAAGCGCAATATGATGCCCTTCTGGGGGGCTCGGAAGAGCTCCCTTCAAACATTTCGTTGTCAAAATTCGTGGCCTGCCGAAGTCAAGAAATTCAAATGATGAAAAACTCCTTACTGTCCCAATCTGGGTCAAAATTGGCTTTCCAAACATTACCAAAGCACATGAGACGTCGAGCAATGTCCCACAATGTTAAAAGATTACCCCGACGTCTGCGACAAATCCACTTAAACCAAATGAAAAAGTCTGGAATGCCGAATCAACAAAAACGACCCTCACGGAAATATCGTCGCAAACCAAGAAATCTTCTTGAAGAATACACCAAAAGGGCTAATAAAAAATACAAGTGGCTGCAAACCCACATTTGGCACGCTAAAAGGTTTCACATGGTGGAGAAATGGGGGTACAAATTGCCATACCACGCTTGTGATAAGGCTTTCCGCGCTTGTTACAGGGCAATGACTCAGCATTGCCTTTTACAAGACATTTCATACTACAGTTGCTTGGAAATCCACGGCGATAAAATAGAGATTATCGAAAAAATTAAGCTTTTGTGTAAACCTGACGGGGGTTTAAGTATAGGAGCGAAGGCATTTGCCGAAGGTAATCGCGAGGGAGAAATTACTCTGTTCGAAATTGGGGGTTCGTCCCAAAAAGCCATCGGAAAAGTTACTTTCCAATGGCAACCCTCTACTGATGAAAAGTGTAAGTTATGGTTGTGGGTTCATGCCGCATATTATTGTACTACCAAAAACACGCTAGTTGAATGTTTTAAAAATACTGAAATCGAAATTCACGAACTTAGACTTGAATTGAGCAGATTTAGACTCACTGGACCTTTATCTAATCCAGTTCTTCAAGACGCACTTGCTCTAATTGACATTTTTGATATAAAACTAGTACCAGAGTCGCCTCTTAAGAAGTATGTTGATTCTCCCGAAAATAAAGCAGTGATAATAAATCAGTGCGAATTTTGGAAGAAACTTGATTCGGTATCATCATTGCACGAAATTTCTCCTCATTTAGTATTACCATTAATTGTTAAAGATCCACGATTGAACCTTCCAAAAAAACGCATGAAAAGCGTTTTGACTTTCGGAAAATTAGAGTTTGATGACATTCCGGTGAACATTTCTGGGAACCCCCTATGGGACAAAAACATCAGAAAGTACTCGAATGAAAATAAAGTCTCTGATTCAAAAATTGTTGATTTGCAAAGTGGATTATTGGTGCCAGGATCAGATTTAAAAGGGACTGTAGCTCATATACCAATTATTCTCATTCAAAGACCAGGGAATAAATTGCACAATGTTGGGTTGGGAAGTGGCTGGGATGTTATCCTACCAACCGCTTGGGCCAAACCATTTTGGATTGCATTTGTTATGAGAGGAGCAAGAGTTGGAGGTTTGAGAGAATCAAACTCTATGCTGTATGAAATGGGAAAATCGCAGTTGCTTCATCCAGACACTGAAGCAGGTGTTGACGAAGAACTCAGACATTCAAATCAGAATAAGGTTACGTTTTTCAAAAAACCTCCAAATAAAAGAATAAATTACAGTAGATTTAAAATAGCGAGTCCGTTTGCTTGCAATTGGAAACTTTTGTGTAAAGATTGGAGCAGTAGTTTTACCGGCGAATTTTCTGTAATTAGAGATAAACGATTACTCCATTCTATCAACGTAAGTTAATTATCTTGGTAAAAAGTCAAATGTTAGTTTATGTGATTCTAGAGTTTTCTCGATAGTAAGACACAACCTTTGCCAGAGTACCCCAAAAGTTGCCTTATTCCCGTAAAAGTGGAGTGTGAAAAGCGAGGCTCACTCGCTGAATATGCCATTATTTGTGTACCAAAATGTCAAAGTGATTTAACAAAAGGTTTGGTGGAACCCAATTGCGAAGATATAAATAAAGAAAAACGGAAAGAATTAAGACGTGCACATCACAGTTTATTAAAGAAATTGAGAAAAAAACGTAAATTAAATCCGGAGCTTACGGTAGAATTGTTTTCTTGTTTTAATCCATCTTGTTAATAAATTTATTTCAGCTTCCAGACGATCACAGTGAAATCCTACGAAGTTATACAGAGAAAATGAGAGCATTGTGGCTACCTGACGCAACAACCATAAGATATTCCTGTAGCAGGGAAGTTGTGGGATTTGTTTCAAAAGGAGGTTTTAGTTTTTCGATTGGGAAAAGTGCAGGGACGGGTTATATCATTAGCGATTCTTTACCAGAATTAATTAATTTTAGAAATAGGGTTTTGTTGAGGAATACTAATTCAAGACAATATAAAACTGCAACTTTACGCGTAATTGTAGAATGACTTGAGAATATAAAATTATAACAGAAGTTTTATAATTTGCGTTCTCAAATACTTACAGCAACACAATTTTCCTATTGTATAAAATTAATTTACCTTGTCACAGAAGTGTCTAAAAGGCAATTAAATTAGGTGAAATTCAAATGCCAATTTTGTGTAGCAAGTGTAAAACGACGAATTATAAAATTATTATATGTTGGCATACAATATTTTTTAATTTCGCTAAAGTTAAATATTTATTTTGCTTACTGTTTATGATGTCAAGATCAGAAAAAAAAATAAACAAACATAAAAAGTTAAAAGTAATCAAAAACATTAATAGTACCTAGTTAGTTTTATTATGTCGTATTTTTTTAATCAGTTTTAAAAAATGAAAAAAAAATTGGAAAAGGAAATAAATTTACTTTTTTAAATTTGTTCTTATAGAATATATGATTTATTGTAGACACATTTAGAAATAGTTTATTTTGCCACATTTTCCTTGAGAATTGAACATTATCGTTCATATTTAAGTGCGATTAATAAATGTTTTACTTTTTGTTGCTAATTTATGCTCAAACGTTTTTTTAAATATTGTATTTATGTGAAGTTTGGTATACAATTTTTTGTAGATTTCCTTACGTTATTACACAATATTCATAATTATTTCACGTAAATCATGTATATTTATTTCTCCATAAACAGAAAGTTATTACAACAGAATCTAGAGGAGGTTTCGAGTTCTCATTTTGTACTCCATGAAGATTAAAAAGTTATAAAATGTTTCTTATAACTATTCAAGAAAACTTTCAGCGACCTAATACTTTAAATAGTCGCAACAGTTAAAATGCGAACAATGTGGAAGTTCTAGATTTGGAGTACAAAATCTAACAAAGTGCAATTACCTAAAGTTTAATTACAATAGATTGAATTGTCCAAACATTTCCAACTAATACACTAAAGACAGATATTTTTATTTACAACAGAACTGTTTTTTGATAATTAACAGGAATGTTCCATCAAATGGATAAATTATATACAATAAACGAAATTGATAAATAAATAGCATGATAATTAGTGTGGAGGAAGATGCTTGTCAATAAAGTCTTTTATATCCCGCAGTTCTTCATCTGAAGACGTATGCATAAGTCCTCGGTATGACTTAAACTCAGGTTCTTTAAGTAAAGTTTTAAGAACAGATGCGGTCATTTGGCCCCACTTGAAGGGGACAACGGGATCGCAATCTCCATGGCACTGCAAAATCTAAAAACAGCGTCAAACCGTTTTTATTTTACTCATTACTTACAGATAAATCTTTTGTAGTTTTCATAGAACTCGGAAAACTCTTATGCAAAGGTAACCAACCAGATAGAGAGACAACTCCAGCCAATTGTTGGGGGTACACAAGAGCGGAATAAAGTGCTAGTGCTCCCCCTTGGGAGAAACCCCCCACAACTATCCTATCAGCTGGAATACCGTCCTTAATTTCATTATCTATCATAGAATGCACCTGCTTTGCGGCCTGTTTAATTCCTACAAACAATTTAATGACAAAAATCATTAAAATTTGCACTTGTACCTTCCTCGTCCTCAGGTCCTGAGGCATCAAGAGTCCTCAAATCAAACCAGCTAGGCATCCGAAAACCCGCATTTAGAGTCACTGGCATGGTGGGGGCCGTGGGGCAAATAACCTTCACATGGGGTGGTCTGAGAGCAGCCATAGCACTGGCCCAGCCTTGGCTGTTAAAATAGTAAGATGTAGTTTTAAGTAAGTTATTACTCCACTTACCCTGTGTCCCCTAAACCGTGTAAAAAAATTAACTGAAACAAGTGCTCTCGTTAAAATTGAATTTCTCATTGAAGAAATGTACTAACCGTGGCTGTGTGTTTAGCGGTTGCGGCAATAACAATTGGGGCTGCCATTCTTTAATTTATCGGAGTTTTTTTGACTTCGCCGATGAGAAATGATGTGTCAGAAGTGGAAACACTGGAAATTTTGCTAAAAATGAATGTCTTCTCAGAGTTTAAAGGACGAATCGGAAATCGTAGAAGTACTAGCACAATGACAGAATTTTATTGCTTATTGGCAGTTGAGGTTGACGTTAATAGAGTGAGATAAGAAATAAAATTTGCGCAGTCGCACTAGAATTTGGAAAATAATTTTTGAATGGCGGCAGTTTAAAATTTTCCATTCTGTTTTTTCATTTCAGATAAAATGAATTATAAATCATTTGAAAATTTTTACTTACCTTAAGTTTGTGATTTATTTAATTTTTTTGTTTTTTTTTACTAGCAAGAAATCCAAAGAAATCTTCATCAAACCACTCTCGTACCTATGCACAAAAATTAAAGAACATTTAAGTAAAAATATTTCTATTTCAAATTTGTTACATTTTCAGTTGCTATTAAAAACGACGAGAAACTACATAAACTAAAATCTACAAATATAAAATTAAAATAACATTTATTCTATTAATATGTGATTGTGTACACAAAAATACCCAGTGTATGAATAATATTATTTTTCATTATTACGTCGTTATTCCAAATTGAAATCGAAATTTTATGTAAATTACATTTTCGAAATACACACTTTATACATTTACAAAAAACGTTTATTTTGTATGTTATTATTTTCGATATTGGATTGGGATTTACATTAAGCCAATGTATAAATTGGTTTAATGTAAGTGTATCCTCTTTTACATTTAAAATTACATTTGATCACAAAAATATGTGCGGAGAATCATTGTGTGTAAATTATACTCATCCTAAATTAGACAGTTTTTGTGCAGAAGACTTTATTATTATTTGTCATGCACATAATAATATCTTTAAATTTCTACTTAAATTCTTACAATTAAAGAGAACATGCAATAAAAATAAATAGGCGACAATTTTTTGGAAGTACAGTTAGTTGGATTTTTAAAAATATACCTATGTGTATTTTCTATACATATTTGTCACATTGTATTTAGGTAAACAATTAAAATTTGCAAGCTTGTAGGAGTAGTCCGTAATCACAATTAGTTAATCACAAAAATCACAGAATATCTTTTGAATTTTTCAATAGACAATCAGTTTTTTATTACCGAAGTTAAAAACGTTAGCAAATTGCAATTATTAATTTTTAGTAAATATAACATTTTAATTAATATTTAAATTCTCTTTGTTCTCTTCATTTAAGGCTGCTGTATCTTCTCCTTTAGATTCTAGTAGTGTTTCCGATGAAACGTTTTCTTTGTCATCTTCAATATGATAAATTTCCATAGATGAGCTAAACGATTTTTGTTGTAATATAGCATCAGCTGCTGCTTCCCAACAGGTTGGCGAAGGTCTAAAATATGAAATAAAAATAATTTATTTAGTTTTTACTCTTTAAATAATTTATTAGTAGATGCGGTCGCTAGTAAACTAGATTATGGTCCTGAGGTTCTAAATAAACGAATAGTAACGAGTTTAATAAATGAAATATTCAAAAAGCGGCAAAAATATGGAATGACTTCTTATAATCTATAAAACTGAAAATATTTTGTTTTGACAAAAATGCTCGAATAGGTCAATTTTCTTTTTAGAAAACACAAAATTTTCAGGTTGATGTAAAATTGTATGTTTGTCTTTTGTTGATATTATTTTACATTTTTGATGTTTTTTTTTCGAAAACTTTAATATTCAATATTTTGGTGTTGCTACCAATTAAAAGATCTATCGAATTGGCTAAAAAAAATAAAGGTTTTCATTAAAAAAATGTCGATGACGTCAATACTCAAAAACCAAAAAATGTAAAATTTTAAATCAGTTTGCGAATTTTGTATTTTTAAAAAAGAAAATTGACCTGTTCAAGCATTTTTGTCAATAATATTATTCCAAAATTTTGCCGCTCACTGTACTTAAAAACAAATTTATTTCGAAAGTGAATTTTAAAATGACTTATTTTTTTATAGTATACAAAAATAGTAATTTACTTATTTTATTTTATAAGAAGTAGAAAATGTAAATTCTAGTTAATGTTTTACCGACGAATACTTACTGTTATTTATTGTATACCTGCATACTCTAAATTAAAAAAAAAAAACATTGAAAGAGTTTCAAAAAATTTTCGTAATATTTTTTTATTTCGATGCCTATTTAATTTATATTTTTTTTTTACTATCGAATATATCTTCTTGCGTTTTTGTTTTTGTAGTTATGTACAATTGTTTTCTATTTCTGGTGTTTTTTTTTACTTGATGACTTTTTGAACTTCACAAAGAGTTATCTTTGAAGATCCATTATTACTTCTCTGATGAAAATTCTCTAAAGTAATGCGTCGTATTTTTTATGTATTTGATGTAGTGATTAGTCTTACAAAAACATTTAGTAAATTGACTTGTTAGACTTGCATTACAACCAAAAGAAAATGTACCTATTGAAAAATAAGCACAAAACATTCATATTTTATCAGTTTTTATTTATTTGAAAGTGTCTTAATGTTACAACTTTTTCAAATGCAACAAAGCTAATAGTTTTATAAAGCACGCCGTATTTTCCATTTTCAGATTATAAAGGTAATCAGAAAACATTGAATTGAAGGTGAAATGACCAAGACTCAAGGCATTGACCAGAGTTAAAAAAATATTTTGTCAAATTTATGCGGCGCCAATTCCCATGCAAATGTAAAAGGTTTGGGTTTAAATATCTGCAGAAAATTTGTATCAGTCACGAAAATCTAGAGAAGTGGCAAGAACACGAAGGAAGGAAAATTCTACGAATATGCAAATTCTGTTCTACTTTTGCTAATAAATTGCTACTTACTTAGTTTTTTATGTTGCGATTTACTGTCAGTATTTCCATAACAGAAAGTCAATTTTACCACCTGTCTGTATGCGTTGAATACATTTGCAAATCAACTAATATCGTACCTAGAATCGAGCCTATTTATAGTCCAACTTTGGCGTAATTGTTGTAAAACAAATAAAACAATAATGTTGATGGAAAAATAAAAGAGATGCATTCCTGTCTTTAATACGATTTATTTTCCAAATTTTATGTAATGTAAAATAGAAAATTTCAGCTAAGAATCCAAAAAGCTACCTCTATTTACAATATCTTTGTATAATGCTCGAGCTATTCACTCTAAGACCAATCATCACTTTGTTTAGATCAAATCCAGCACGATTTTGATTAACACTCACATCAGACCACTTACTCCTCCTTCTGTGGTTCCTTGACTGGCGATGTTGCAGGAGTGGGCAACTTTGCTACAATTTCTTCAACTTTTTTTTCTACATTTTTTACACCTTCTCCTAACATATCAAAATGGTGCTCCATGTCTTCTATCTCTAATCCATCTTCGACTTTCTCTTGCATTTCATCCAACTTTTTTTCTATTGTTTTCTCACTGGAATCAAATTTGTCAAACGCATCTCTTGCTGTCGACGATAACATCTCTTTCGCGTTTTCAGCTTCTGACGCTAGAACGGTTTCAGCTTCAGAAACCGCTTCCGCAGCTGAATCTGATGCTACATGTAGTGCTTCTTCAGCGTCGTCTTCCATGTTATTCACAACGTCCTTTACTTCTTCAGTTGCCGAATTTATGTTGTTGCTCGCTTTTCCCATTACTGAGCCCAGGCTGTTTTCAGCAGTATTCATCGCAGACTGCATTGCTTCTTTCACGTGCTCCATTTCGGTGCTTATTTTCTCTTTTACCGTGTCTCCAACATCTAAAGAAATCATCAAAAATTGTTATTAGTTATTTTATTTTTACGAAAAAAAGGTGCTTGGTTATCATTAGGGTGTATATAATTTTGTAAATAATTTCGAGGGAGCGAAGCTAATTTAGGACTTATTTGGCTTTACTGAAGAAAACACAATGGATAAAAAATAGCTCATTGGCTCAATAAGGGTGATATAAATTGTAATTTGTGTTTTGTGCGTTTCTATTATTATTATTTATTATACACGAACTCCAGACTTGCTTAAATGAAATACCTAATGTTTATTAGGTAAGGACTATATTTACAAAATCAGTAATGATAATAAATATTAAAATTTTGCTTTTTATATTTTTTTAATTATTATTTATATTATTATTTATCAGTTCAGACAAATTTTCTGTTAAAAAAATTTAGACATGTTTGTATAAAATCTTTTGTTTTTCTATTATTATGATGATCATTAACTCATTAATCAATAATTATTATCTCGATCATTATCGATCGTTAGTAAGTTGTATGTGAATAAATATTTGAAAGTGATGTTTCTTATTTCTTTGCGAAAAATATATACAAAAAAATTGTGTCTACGATAGGATTTTGTGCCACTAATTATTGAGTTGGATTTTGAACTTTTACTATTAAAAGAACAATTGGTATTTGACTTTTTTTTGATCTTGTTAGAACACTTCCTAGAGCCATGGATATACGCTTAGTTGGTCTACTGTAATTTTATGACATAATAACCTCTCGATCCCAATGTCAAATTTATGACATATTAAATTAATAAGTGAAACATAACAAAAATATCATATCATGATTAAATGGTAATAATAGTTCTTATATTTTAAAAAAAAGTGTAATTCAATATTGTGAATAAAAGCTCGAACAACTTTTCACTACAATAAGATTTGATACGCAAGAGAATTCAGTCGACAACGGAGACCCGAGACATGTCATATGTCAAAATAATCAAAACAAAATAAAGTAAATTGTGCAATAATTTAACCAAAGAAGTTTTATATTAGTGCAAGGCACAAAAATAAGCAAATATGCATTACTACGAGTACAAAATGTGAACAATTTTATCTTTTGTATGCTGGCTTCTGTTTTTTTTTTTTGGTAAGCTTTTTATTAGTGTTATGTGGGCACATTGGGGCGTTTGTCTTGCTAGAACTTTTGTTTGCATTAAACGAAGCTATCTTTACTACAATTACTTCAGCAATTCAAATTTTATTGACATATTGTTGTTTTCAAGGTTTGTTTTAATTTTAGTCTTTATAGTATGGAAAAAATGCCGATTCAGTAGACATAAAGTGGCTTCTTAGAACAAGGCTAAGACAAGTTATTTTCAAGCATTTCAAAAAATTGGAAATTTTTGTTATAATTATTATAGGTGTGTATTTTCTGAGCAACTTTTTTTTATTATGCAACATTTTTGTATTCGTCTTGAACTAGATTAAAATTATATTAAGTAACACTAACTCTTTATTTATATTAGCTTTGCGTTGTTTTATAAAAAAAACTAAAAACTATAATGTGGTCACGATGCTGTTAAAGTTGACTAAGTTTTTATTTAAACTTACGATATCATAAAGATGTTTCAGGAATTTGGGTACACCTGTATAATTCTTTAATGTTGTCTTACTTGCATCATTTGTGTATTACGTGTGATTTTTATCATAGTTTAAAGTTGGTTTTCTGTTTTAATATACATATGTCCCAATGTGTCCTTATTTTATACATTATAATAGTAAATTAATGTAGAGTTGATTAATTTAAAGCAATGAAGAATGAAGAAAATCTTATGAGTTGCGACACCAAAGCACAAACAAAAACTTTCTGTATGTCTCCTTATGGCTCAAAGAGCAGTGGCGATGATCATTGTCCAGAACAGTACTCAAAGGATCCTCAATATCTTTGTGTAGTCAACAGTTCAAAAAAAAATTCAAATTACGTTTGTGAAACTAGTAATTTTGAAGCTTCTTCAACGTTGCAAAGGCTGAAACATGGCGTTCATTGTAATTTATTTAATTTCGATGTAAAACATCGTATAATTCTTCAAGAGGAATTTAACTGTGCGGATACGATTATTGAAGACTATCCATGTAAATATTGTAACTACAAGACACATTTTAAAGTAGCATTGCAACATCACGTTCTGAAGTTTCATCTACATGTAGAGGAAAACTTGAGATTGCTTTTAGATTTCGGATTGATAAGTTACACTTGCAAAGTGTGCAAGTTTGAAACGTTTTCGATATTGCAAGCAATCAAACATAAAAATGCAATTTGTAGCAAAAGTGAAAATGAGAAAAATTATCACTGCACTTATTGTAATGCTTTTAAGTGGAGCAGATGTGATTTGGTTTATCACATAAATGCCAAACATACCGCAATAGAAAAAATACAGTGGTACAAATGTGAAGAGTGTGCTTTTCAGACAAAACTCTTATCAAAACTGAACCGACATATTCGCATCAGACATACCAATGTAAATATTGGAGCATACAAGTGTGACCAGTGCAGTTTCCAAACACAACAAAAATCTTCACTAACTCGACATATTACCGCAAAACACTCTAGTGGTAATAGTGATCTTAAGTGCACTTATTGTGATTACGAAGCAAAGACTAAAAGTTCTGTAAAATCACACGTTTATTTACGACATACTACTTCAGACCAAATCCAGTGGTTTGAATGTGACAAATGTGAATATAGAGCGAAACGTAAACAGGCATTAACGTGTCATGTTTATGCCCAACATAGTGCTTCGGAAGATATAAAATGGTGGAAATGTAAGTGCTGTGGAATAAAAATGAAAGATCAGAATTCTTTACATATTCATATAAGCAGGATACATAAGCAGAAGTCTGGCACTGTTTTCAAAGAGGGGAAAGAACTAAGACCATTTAAATGTGATTATTGTGAATTTGAAAGTAAGTTTAAGTGCAGTTTGAAGATGCATATTATGAATAAACACACTCGTGTGGAAAACATTGCATGGTTTAAATGTGAGCATTGCACATTTAAATCAAAGCATAAGTCACTTCTCAATAATCATATGACTACTGCACATACTGACTCAAGGGATATACAGTGGATTAAATGTGATCAATGCGACTATAAGGCAAAGCTCAAAAAACGCTTAAGTGATCATGTTAGAGTCATGCATGGTAGTAAAGATGTATTTCATTGTACATCTTGTGATTTTAAGACTAGATACAAAAGTTATTTGAACCGTCACATTTACTACAAACATACCTCTCCGGAAGATATAAAATGGCATAATTGTAACTATTGTTCCTTTAAATCAAAAACAAAGGCTCTTCTAAAGTCACATATGATTAGCAGACACACTGACATACAGGAGGGTAAAAATTTATCAAAGCAAATACAGTGGTTTCATTGCAGGCAGTGTGAATATAAAGCTAAACAAAAACAACATTTACAATTTCATATTACTACGAAACATAGCTGTTCAACAGATGTAGAATTTAAGTGTGAAAAATGTGACTATAAGGCTAAAATTAAATCTTACTTAACTCAACATGTTACTTTACGGCATGTCCTTCCAGAAATGAAAAACGAGATTTTAGAAGATATAAAAAGAAAAGCCAAGTTAAAACAAAATTTAGGTCAAGATTATTCGTGCGACTATTGCTCTTATAAAACTCCACAAAAGTCTAATTATGAACGACATATAGCATTCAAACATCTCAATAGATTAAAAACCTGTAATTAGATTATTTAATGTTCTGTTTGAATTTTAAATTCAGTAAATGTTTAATGTGATTGGGAATGTATTAATTTTAATGGTGATCTCTTATCCCAAATTATTTAATACCCAGTTGTATAATTGGATTTAAAGAAGCATTCAATTAAGTGTTGTTTAGAATGTGCTGTTTACTACGGACTTGTTGACAAAAATTTCACAGCCTGAATCATTAGTTAACAATATCTAAACAACATTTAATTTAAAGCTTCTTTATAATTCGATTATGAAACAGGTTCTAAATTAGTTCATATAGCGCCTTACTCGTTATTGCAAAATCTAAAATGTTTATTAATGAGTATAATTGGTATCATTTTCTGTACACTGTACGAATAAAAGTTAACAATCAATACAGGTATTTTGGAGATTTGTATATTATGATGTAGGATTATGTATTAAATATTTTCAATAACATACGAGTTTAATTTTTCTATGTTTCAAATTTGCACATAAATACATAAATGTTTTTTATATTTTTAAATGAAAATTCTCAGAAACCATGTCACGTGGCGTTACTTTTCATTTCAATATTTTTTATCCATCTATATTTTGGTTGACTTTATCGGGTTTAAATAAAATCAGCAAGGCTGCTCATAAAATTTAATTAACCTATTTTCGTTTTTTAATCTGTTAAAAATAGTAAAGGAATTGTGAAAGCCGTGCACCACATTAATTTTTTTAATGATTAATCTGTGGTCACGCAAATTTTACAATGGTCAATACCTACCGACAACACGCGATACATTTTTGGCTGTCAAGAGAGAATAATGAAGAAAAAGTGTAGATATCAAAGCATTGACACTTGACCTTTGGTTTTTTGAGAAATCACAAAATATGCTTTTTATAGAGTTTTTTTTATAAACTTTAATGTTTAAAAGCCAAATTAGTTTAGTGTTTAGATTGTTTTTTTTTCAAATTAAAACTCAATTTCATTTAGCAACAAAATAATTTATTGAGTATCTCGAAGGTCGATTTTACATGCAACTAAATATTGAGCTAATGGGATGGGGAGAATGATGAAAGCAAACTAATAAGGTAAAAATTTGCATGATTGTTTATAGGTAAGTAACTAAGTACGTACTTTCTAAGCAAGGAAGTTTTACCTTTCTACTTTTTTAATTAATAATTTGAAAACAGCTTAAGTCACACTGTTACATTTTTGAAATATGTATGTAAGTTCGGTGTTTTCTTTTATACAATGCAATGTAAGTACATAATTCGTAAGATCTTTCGTTAAGCAATCAAATAAAGTTATACGTTGTAAAAATTTCTCACGAAATATAACATTCTTTTATTGGTATTAAAAAAATTTAAAAATTTGCATTTATTAAGAAGATAATAATCAAAAATTTAGAATTCAAAAACATTTTCATTAGATTTGTCACTGTCAACAAAAATTTATAGTATCGCGAAGGTCATTTTTTACTTGCAATTATTTTAGTATTGATTTATGAGGAGTAGGCTACAGAAATGAAAACTAACAAATAAAATAAACTGGAAATGTCGAAGGAATGTTTAAAATCTGACCGCGCTTTGAAGAGGGCTTTTAATAAGTTAGTCTATTTATTTATTTTCTATTGCATAATTGAAGTCTGAATTGATGTCTGAATTACCCGTATTTTTATTTTGTTCAAAATTTTCTTTAAAATAGCAGAAAAAAAAATTGTAAAGGTTCGACAATTATACACGATTTCAAACAGAGCTTACGCGATATAAGAAGTCTCGACACTATTGGACGATAAGCTTACACTAGCAATCAGCCAATCACAACGCGCACTAGTCCTCTGGTTTGTATTTGCAGTTGAAATAACACGTGTTTTTACAATTTTTTAAAACAAAAAATGAGTATCGTCCTCGGAGGTATTGTCGAAAATACCGTTACGTGTAACATGCGACATATTCAAATATCAATCATTGAGAAACAAATTACTAACAATTTTAATGTGTGAAGTTCACTATACTATAGCGCTTCTACCTACTTAATACTTTGACATTATTTAAAAAAAAAAACGAACTATACTTGTATAATTTATTTTATTATGCGCTTTTTAGATAATTCAGAAATGATAGTGAATACAAATTTGAAATTGAAATTGAATACTTATTAAACATTTAAACTTTAGCAAGTAGATAAATATTTGCATATGGAAATCTTTGTTAAAGGTCTTAGGCAATAAATTGATTATTTAGTAGAATTACGAGTACGAATTGTTTAGATCTTTTTATTAAAATTAGGTATGTCAACAATTTCTAGAATAAATAAACTGGTAAAATAAGGTGTGAACACAATTATTATAGTTTTTTGAATTTTGTATAGATATAAATGTATCACACAAGTAAACAATTATTGATAAGTTTTGATTAAATTATTTTTATTTGAAATTCTTTTACATTGATTTTACTAATAATTCACTGAAGTGATAATGAATTTTACTTCATTCTTCATTAATATCAATTCAGTCATTGATTTATCGTCTAGATATTGTTTGTAATAACACAAATAAAGAAATTTAGGGTGTGTCAGAATTCGCGACCCAGCGAAAAATTTCAAGTAAGATAAGATACCAGAAACATGGAAAAATTTAAACATTTATTTTTTGACAGATGACATTTTTTATGTCTATTTAATGATACTTATGATCTTGTATATGTTTTTTTACAATTATTTAGTAAAGGTACAAAAATTTTGCCAATAAAAGCCACAAATAACATTGAACAGAGTTACAATTTAGGATAGAGCTTCCTTGTTTCCTCTTATAATAGCCTGTAGTAAAAAAAATTTGGAAAATTATTTCTCCAACAGAAATAAATAGAGTCAAAGTGCAAAATTTAAACTCTCATAACCTCGAAATTTTTATAGATATTTTTTTAACATTTTTTTCATGTTCCTGGTATCTTACTTTATATGGTATTTTTCTCTGGGGCGCAGAGTTCTGGCGCACTCTGTATAGATAGAAATGCATCAAATATTTACAAAGCAAACTATTATTGATAAGTTTTGATTAAGTTATTTTTATTTGAAATTCTTTTACATTGAATTGATTTTACTACAAAATAATTCACTGAAGTGACAAATGAATTTTACTTCATTCTTCATTAAAATCAATTCAGTCATTGATTTATCGTCTAGATAATGTTTGTAATAACACAAATAAAGAAATTAAATTAAAAACTTTTACTACCTTGCAATGTCTTTTCTCCTTTGTTCACAACTTCACCGGCTTGATTTTTGGCAGTTTCCACAAAGTTCTTTCCACTTTCCACAAGTGGACTGCTACTTGCACAACCCATTTTACTACTGTTTGTAACGACCGGGTCGGTAAAACTGACCACCGGTCATTACGTCTGGCACCCTTGCCGTAGAGTTCTGTGAAAACACCCACGCATTCAGGCAATCGAATTTGAAATATTATTGAACGCGAATATATAACAAGTGGTCGGCTGCAATGTTATTGAAAGTGACAGACACTTGAACAAAGTCTGTTTGTTTATAAATACATTGGGAAGACTTGGAATCAATAATAAATAGACGGAATTATTTGGGTCAACAAACTTTTCATTTTTAAACGACTGGGAACTTATTTATTGAGTCGTCTAAGTTTCTTATAGTAGTCTATTTTTGAAAAGAGATAAGTCTACAGATTTATAACAACAGGGACAGTTGTGGTGGTATTTTGGCGGATGCGTCGGGATAAAAAAAAACTTTACAAACGACATTTATTATCTACTTTTAACATACAAAATTTACAAGACATACTTAAATATACACATATAAAAATATTTTACGGCACCTTAATTTAGAGTGCAGATATTTATTTACGTTCTGCTATTTACCGAATATGCACGTAGCTATTTCAAGTGATATTGAGTTAACAACTATTAGAATTTGTTGATAACAACAATGTAACATTATAATGTATCAAATTCTGATTTAAATATTACAGAAAATATTGATATGGTACACTTTTAGTGCCGATAAAATTAGGCATTTAAGACGGGGCCTTTCTTGGCATTAAAAAGCATGCCTTATTATGCTCTTATGGGAGAGACGACACTATGTCAAATGCAAAATCTAGTTTAATTTTTTATGTTAATTTTAATTTTGTTACATAACTTGAGTTTACATAAAAGTAGGTTTAGATTTGATAGTGATTGGAAAAACAAAACAAAAAATGTAGTCAAAGCAAGTCAGAAAGTCGGTTTCCCTAACATTTTTACATAGAATTTTTTTGATAATGCTGTTAAGTTGTAACAAACGTTTTATAATCAAAGAGTTTAATTCTGTTCTTACAGGATGTTTAATATTTTTTTGAAATCACTTGTAGATACCTATATTTCTTGTCTTGTTCCACCTACCATTTGTTTATCAACTTTTAACTGAGTTTTTATGCTTTAAAGATTTTTTAAATACACACAAATCTATCCACATCCATCTTATTATAGTTATTTAGCTAAAAAAGACATTACATATGACAATTTTTTGTGCTGCAAATATTGCCAACTGCAAGGTGCACTTTTGTGTAATGTTTTGCAAAACTAATGTTGCTTCTAACATACAGTGTTATAGAAACATATTTTAAATAATTATAAATTGTTTTTTGCTATTAACATTAATCACATATTCAATAATGACTGGATACATTAGCCAAGACGGGATAAAATTGCATTATTGATTTTTCTAAAAACTATAATTTTTATATTTTGATTATGAACTTGAAATTGAACAAGAATAAAGTGTTTTATGGTTGGATAAGTAGACAATTTGTAATAAAGTTTATTTTGCACTCAATGTTAAAGGGTGCTTTTATCAACTAATTTCAGTAGATAAAGTAGTCTTTTATCGTCTAGTGAAATAAAGTAATTTTTAAAAATTCTAAATTTAAAAATTTAGAAATTCTAGTAGGTGAGTACAAAATAAACTCGTGACTTCGTCACTCGTAAACTTAACATTTTCACTCGTAGATAAACAGTTTCTTTATCGTCTTGTATAATAAATAACTATTTTTTGCTGTGTTTAAACATCATTTACATTACTTAAAAATATCTTTTGTAGATTAGGTATATCCTGTCGATTGAGTGTTAGGTAGGTTTTAGTGGGGCCACAGGTTAAATTTTCTGAGATAAGGTGTAAGAACTTTATGTATGTCAAAAGTGTATGGACTAGGAAACATTTTTTGGGAAGCATTTAAAATTATTTAAATAGTTTCGCATAAAAGTTTTATTCTTTTCAAAAATGTGATAATGTGATTGTTTTACGAGTTTTGCTGTAATTAGGTAATTAAGTCGTAATTAGAGGCACGCATATTGCTTGCGAGTTTTGGGATTATGTAGGGTGACGAGAGAATTTACTTTGGATTTTTGTTTCATAAAGAATGCACTAAAAATCATTCACAAACACAATATAAATTATCACCTTACAGAGGAATCATTTCAAAAAACAATAAATTAATATTTAACAATAAATTTACTCAATGTTTTGTTTTCGGTGCGCATTTTTTAAATGTGTCAAGTTTTACCAATAAAAAATCCTACTAACCACCATTAACCACTACATAATGGGTGTTTCACATAATTTTACGAGGCCTGCGCCTGTAAGATGCAATCAATAATACATATTCCGATACGAACTCGATTACAAATTTTGAAAAATTGGATAATCTTCTCTAGTTTGTTCACCCTTTCAAAAATTACAACATTTTTAGATAAACTCATGTCGTCTCTTGATAGAACAAATGATAATTGTTTCTGAAAAACGACAGTTTATGACTATTAATGAAACAGTAATTAGTTTGACAACTACTGTCATGGGTTTCCAAAAATTAAATAATTAAATGTGTATTTTTTTATCCAGTGTTTTGTGACTTTTGTATATTTGGGTGCGTACATTAGGCGCAAGTCCCGTAAAGTTGTGTGAAACACCCTGTATAAAACTTTTTTATTTTAATACAAACATGAGGAATACTTAAAATAGTGTTGATAAATTACAATGCAAATTAAAAAAAAGGTTTCTGTATTAGGGAAAATGTTTGGCTATGTTTGGTTATCTTGTTTATAAATTTTTGAAGATATTTTATAATTTTTTACTCTGTGTAAACCCAACTTTAAATACACCTAACACACAATGTTCCACAATTTATTAGATTTTATTTAATCATATTTTTTAGACATCATTGGTGGAATGTTAATTGTCAATTTTATAATTAATTTGTGATAATACATCAATTTCTCAATTTATGAACGACCTTCTTTTCAAGGACAAGGATAATTTATTAACTTTTATGCATCAAGTTATAAATGATGAATGTATTACTAGTTGTTTTTAAAGTTTATCACGTTAGTAAAATCGTTTTATTCGATTTACTTTGTATAAAAAATTGTATTTTTGTTAATTCAAAAATGTATAGTTGTTTAATTATTATTTAGATTAGGCATAGCATAGATCAAGGTTGTCACATTTTTATTATTCGTAAGCTTTAGAATTTTTAGGTACAAATTTTTTCGTTTAAAATTAAACGGTAAATTGCCTGGATTGCCTAGGATAAGTAAAACTGAATTTGCTACTAAACCAACACTATGTATATACTCGTATTTGAGATATTTTATTGTCTATACATTTTTCAGACCGCAACTGCCCGCGGACGGCTTTATGTTAATGAAAAACGACAATTTTAATTTAACTTCTATTTACTTATTTGATTTATTCAGTCATGCGTGCTCGAAATATTTTGTTCTATTATAAAAAATATATTAGAGTAAATTCAAGAATGAACAACTGTGATTCGTATAATTTTCTTAAACTCTGCGGTACGTATTTTAAGTCTTCGTATTCAGATAATAGCTTAATTACGATAAGATTTTCCTAAAGATTTAGTGACAAAAGTGAACAACATGAGCTTTACGAATGTCAGTGTCAGAGCAAGACCCTCCCGGTTCCTGTTCAATTGACGAACCTTGAGTGGGAGAGTAATGTCGATGAGTTCTCGGGATGGCGCCCATCAGTCTTGAATCTGAACTTATTGCTCTTTCTAATTTTCCGCGCGAATGGGGATATTCCCTTCTTTTGGCCCTGGATCGATGTGTGGAATCCGACGCGTTGGAGCTTCGTCGACGGGAAATCGTGTAGGGGACATGAACTGGCAGCTGATGAGACGAGCCACCACTCCCACCTAATTTCACTTCTACAACATTTATGAACACTTTGCTGCGAAAAACTTACCACTTTTTATATCTTTTATGTGCATTGGGATTCTGGGCGAACACGAATGGGAGCTCCTTCGAGAACTATCGTCGTAACCCTGACGCTCATCTTCATCAACTCGTCTCTGCCGTATCAGAGGATTTCTGCGTTTATCGTGAATTCGCAATGTGACAGGACACTCCAGGTGGAGATCTAGTGCTAGCGAACCTTGACTACCACTTCCTTGGAGGGACTCGTGACTTAATCTATAATTTCCAGCGGCGGTTTCGTCCACCGATAAAGCATGTCTGTGCAAAAGACTTGGGTTTAACAACGCGCAATTCGCGAATGTTCGTCGAGAACTTTTCGAACTCGCTTTTTCAGTTCCGTAGCGACTGAAAATTGGAGAAGATCGTGTGTGGCTATCTACAGGATGTTCCAATACTAGGTTCGGGGCTGAAGGACTTTTGTTTATAGAACCCTGAAGCAGAAACAGGTTTAAGATTGTGGGTTTTGGAAGCAAAAAAGCTATTATTGTCTTTTTTAAAGCACATTTTTTTAATATAGAAACAAATAAATGATGCAGGACGTTAACCACAACTAATTTTTTTTGACATTTTTTAATAATTTAGAATTGAATTTTTTATGTCATTTTACATCTTCGGGTGAGAATAAGAATAAGACCTAATCTTACCCGAGGATGATCACCTTGTGGTCGATAAAAATAAGAGTTTTGTAAATTTGAAAACTATAAATAAATAATAAATATTTATACAGGGTGCGCCAGAACTCGTGCCACAGAGAAAATTTTCAAGTAAGGTAAGATACCAGAAACATGAAAAAAATGTTTCTATCTGTCAAAAAATTTTGACATTTATTTTTTGACATTTGACATTTTTTTATATCTATTTAAGAATTCTGATGATCTTGTATATGTTTTTTTTACAATTATGTAATAAAGGAACAAAAATTTTATCAATAAAAGCCACAAGTAACATTGAATAGAGTTACAATTTAGGATACAGCTTCCTCGTTTTCTTTTTTAATAGCCTATAGCAAAAAAACTTGGAAAATTATTTTTCCAACAGAAATGAATAGAGTCAAAGTGCAAACTTTAAACCCTCACAACTTCGAAATTTTTAAAGATATTTTTTTTTAACATTTTTTCCATGTTCCTGGCACCTTATCTTCTTTCCTTTCCTTATCTCTGGGGCGCGAGTTCTGGCGCACCCTGTATAGTGGATTACGAGTTGAGGACAAATAAAAGACTTTTCCTTAAATAACCGACG